TGGCCTCTATGTTCACTATGAAATGTGAATGATCCGATGATAAGAATAATAACTATTATTGACTAATTGGTCATTTGATTTTTGTCTGCCTTCTAAGTTCTATCACACTGGCCCTTGCCCACTCACACTGACCAGTAGTTACGTCACTATATGGTGCTAATCCCCAAAATTTATAAGAACGGTTAACACTTTTTTTTTTTTGTGATTTTAAAAGTAAAATTCAAGATCATATTTTTCTGTTTTTTTTTTATCTAAAACGTAAAAGATCAATATTTACACGTTTTTTAGATAAGGATTGGTTGGGTGTGTTTTTTGCACTTTTCTTTAATTTGGAAAATGTTTCTGAAATTTGGAGAAAAATATGTTTGCTAAGAGTTTTGAAAAAGTGAAGTTGATAGAAAGTAATGTGTGAATAGAGTGTTTAATAATGAAAGTAATTTGGTCTATCCTATTATGAGGAATTCCAATCAGTCAAGCAAAAAGAGGAGAGAAGGGGAGAATCTGTACCTACACAGTGGGAGAAGCCGTCGGTGGGGTGGGTGAAGATCAACGTCGATGCAGCGATTTTTGCAGGTGAGGCACGGGAGCTAGGCTGGTGGTGCGGGACTGGAATGGGATTTGCCTGCTTACGGCGGTACGCATGGATTGTCGCCAATGGAAGCCCGAAATTTCTGAATTGAAGGCTATAGCCTTTGCTCTGGAGGTGGTGGAAATGAAGGGTTACGAGGCGGTGGTGATCGAGTCGGACTGTTTAGAAGCGATCTCAAAGCTCATACGAGATTCCCCAGTGCTAACAGAGGAAGGAGATATGTGTGAGGAAATACGGGCTCAATCCCAGATGATGGGTCAAGTAAACCAGGCTTTGGGAGGATAGGCCACCCCGTTTTGTGTTATCGCTACTCAATGCGGATTGTCCCTCTTTGATGGCTACATAATAAAATCACATCAGGTGTTCTATCAAAAAATAATAATGATATAGGATGATGACTTTTAAAATTTATAGATTTTATAGTGAATAGTGATTTTGACTTCATTTGGGGAAAATTGAAAATTTTTGCTTGTTTTGACGTAAACTTAAAGCTGAGAAAAGGTTAAGAAAAAAACCCATACGTGCTTAGTTTCAATATTAATGTCACATACTTTGGATATTCATTCCAGAGAATATTGATATTCATGTTTTGAAACATCAACCATATCATATGAGTAATAGAACTAAGTTTTGTAAAAGTTATAAAATTTTATCTAAAGAAATTATAAAAAAAAATCGATATTCTTTTTTATCAGAATCTCACACGTATTATTGAGAAAACCAAGACATACCCAAAAGTCAAGTGAATGAAATCAGCCACGAAAATCAAATCCTGCCAAATTAGGGAACAATGAAATTAATTTTTTGGCCATCAGGTGGGTCACCCCGAAAAATATCAATATTAATCATGTAAATTAACAAAATATAATTTTTTGAATAAAATATTTTTCAAGTTAATTTTATTCAAAAATATATATCAGAAAATAAATTCTACAAACATTAAAATCACAAAATACGAGGATGCATCCGAACAAAATTCCCCTCCCACTACATTACATTGCATTTCCAATATATAAACTAATCCTTAAAGAATATCCTAAAATTACTAAACGTCGTCCTAATTTTAACACGTAATTTACATAATTTTTCTATTCGAATTTCAAATTGGAACTCTTAACAAGCACGTCATAAACCTTCGCAATCGTGGCCATCTTCTTCCTTCACTACTGTCTACTATAGCCATCCCTCCCATGATCAGCGTGTCAACCACCTGAGAAGACTACCTATAGAAATGACAATGGGTAGGTCGAGGCGGGTGTCTCGATTTTCGTGATGTAGTAGGTTGCGTAATTTATTATGGGGCACGAGTAGGGACAGCTCGACCTATGAGGTAATAAAAGTAAAATTCTAAGTAAGTTTAGCATAATCGCGAACGAGAGTTTTGCTTAGTGGTAATACCACTAGTCTTTGACTTGGAAGTCCCATGTTTGAATCCCTCTAGTTCTAGTAGCACCTAACTATAAATATCAACTTATATCATCCTTATAAAAAAAAAGTAAGTTGAGGATAATCAAGTATAATTTAGACAAAAAGGGGTAGAAAATAGGGAGTCGGGTCGAGGAGAGTGCCCATGCCCCGCTTCAATACAGGTCAAACAGGTCGGGTAAAATGTGTATAGCCAAAATTTTCATGCCTAACACCTGTCAGGTGCTCCCCCTTTTCTTTGCTCTTTCTAGCAGTGTAAACGACTGTAGTAGGCAGCTAGGTCAAGGCTGCTCTCTCGTTATCTCCTTCATATGCTCTATTCATCATCTTTTCTCGTGTCTCCTCCTCTTCCTCCTTCCTCTCTCGCCTCCGACCACCGTCACACCAACATACCCCTAACTATCACTCCCTCTATATTTTTCAACGTGACATAGTAACTCAACATAAAAGGAAAAAACAACTCAAGCCCACCAAAAAAATAATTGATCCCCACCAAATAGCCCGGGAAATCTCAGCGGGCATTAGGGAAGAGAGTGATCGATATGTTATAAATCACAGAAAACTATAAAACTGAAATGAAAATGGGACAATGAGTTTACATGGTATCTCTGGAATATCCAGGACTAATCCACAGAAGAGTTCGAAACTCTCAGTTGTTGTTCTTACTTATATATTTTGATAGTGGTACAATGACAATCGTTTCTTCTCTCATGTACCTCACTCAGTCGGTCGAACCCCATTAGGAATTAGGTTAACACGTACCCCTAATCCTACGTGGGCTGCATGGGCCTTAAATGCATTGGGCTCTACATATTATAATACTACTACACTACAACAAATACATAGGCTATATCATTAACATCCTCCCTTAAATTGATGGGTGGCTAACATCATCAATTGCTAGACATAAACCATTGTGAACTTGTGGAGAATGTCTTCGTGAATAAATCAACAACCTGGTCCTCAGTGCGTATGTAGTGTAGTGAAACAGTCCCATCACGCACCATGTCCTGAACATAGTGCACATTAATCTCAATTTTCTTGGTCCGATCATGAAGCACTGGATTCACAAACAACACTAGTATTGTCCACCATTAACTCCATAGGTAACGGAACAGATACTCTAAGATCAGAGAATAAGCACCGAGTTTTGAAGTAACATCAAATATCACTATGCTTTGGTAGAAGATTTAGAGACTTTGTCTTGCTTCTTACAGCGCCAAGAAATATACGAATCTACATACTGCACACACCACCATGTAGTTGATTTGCGAGTATCTACACAACATGCATAATCAGCATCGGAAAATGCACGAAACTATGACAACCCACCGAGGAGAATAAGATGCCCATGTCTCTGGTTCCCTACAAGTAAATAAGTATGCGATGCACTGCGGCAAGATGATCAACACACGGGTCAGACATAAACTGACTAACCAGCTGAACAACATAGGAGATATCTAGACAGGTCGCAACCAAATAAATCAGACTCCCTACAATGCTCTGATACTGAGATCCATCATTCAACCATTCCCTAGACTCTCTACTCAGCTTCAGATTAACTTCCATAGGCATGGATACTAGCTTGCAGTCCTCAATACTGTGATCATGTAGTAGGTCAGTAATATATATACTTCCTCTGACTAAGAATAATTCCGTTCAAATTGCAGGTTACTTCTGGCACAAGAAAATAAGACAACTCTCCTAAGTCCTTAATACAGAAATATGTTTGAACTTTGAAGTCCTTCTTTGAGTCTGCAAATGCCCTCAGAATCCGACCCAGTATTAACCATATCATTCACGTACAGTACGAGAACAACAATACCTTAGGAAGAAGTCAGTGTGAAGAGAGATGGATCATTTAAACCCTGTTAAAACCCCAACTTGAACAGTGTTACCTGAAACTTGTCAAACCAGACTCGATGTGAAACTTGTCAAACCATATAAAGACCAGTGTAGGAGGCGTACTTGCCCAGGAGAGCTAACATGATATCCCGGTTGAGGTTTCATGTAGATTACCTCCTCAATATCCCCGTGCAGGAAATCATTCTTGACATCAAGTTGTAGAAGTGCCAAATTCTTCTGTGCAGCTACAGCAAGCAAGTCACGAACAGTAGGCATCTTCTCCATAGGAGCAAACGTCTCATGATATTCCACCCCCTGCTCCCGTGTATATCCGAGAGCCACAATCATGGTCTTATTTCGTTCAACAGCATCTTAATAGTGTAAACCAAACGGCTTCCCACAATAGGAATTTCTTGCGCACGGCGGTCTGCCATGGTCTAGGTGTTATTCGCATGCATGGTCGTACTGTCAACATTATTTGTTCACCATGGTCCAGTTTTCTGTTATCAATCACAGAAAAATGTAAAACTGAACTGAAAACGAGACAATGGATTTAAGTGGTATTCCTAGAATATCCAGGACTAATATACGGAAGAGCTTGAAACTCTTCGGCTATTGTTCTTATTGATGTGTTTTGATAATGGTACAATAACAGCCGCTGCTCCTCTCATAAACCACACCCAGTCCGCCGAATCCCATTAGAAATTAGGTTAACACGTAACCCCTAATCCTACTTGGACTGCATGGGCCTTAAATGCAATGAGCTCTACATACCAAAAGTATTTGTTGACCTCTAGTCAAAATTGAAGAGTTTACTTCATTTTGACCATAGGTCAACCAAAACCATTTTTTTATTGACCACAAATCTAAACATATTTTCTTTTTTTTACCATTGGTGGATATAACCTGTGAGTCTATGACTTTGTTTGACCACTAATGGACTGAGAAATTTTAATTTGTTTGACCACTGGTCAATCGAAAGTTTGACTTGGTTTGACCAATGGTCAACTCAAAATTGGGTCAATATTTTTTATTTTTAATTAATTGTGTTTTAAATTTTTTATATTGCAATGAAATTTAGTTAAACACTGTTTGATTGGTGTAAATTCAAGAAAAAAGAGGCAACATGGTAAGAAAATAACTTTGATATTTTTTAAGCACACATTTGAAATTTGCAAGCCCCTATATAAACCTCCAAGTCTCATACCACCTTAGCATTACCCAACCCCCCAAAACACAAAAAACAAAAAACAAAAAAAAAACACAAACAAATTTGATTTGATTTTGTAAATTGTAATGGCGGAGATCAACTACCTTAAGCAAGAGGAGCCCAACGTCGTCGACGACGGAGCCGCCGCCGCCGCTGCCGCCAGGACGAAAAGGCTGCTGCTGATCATCAACTGCCTGATCCTAGCCTTCGGAAACTGCGGCGGGCCCATGATCATGCGGCTCTACTTCCTCCACGGCGGGAAGCGCGTGTGGCTCTCCAGCTGCCTCGAAACCGCCGGCTGGCCCATCATGCTCATCCCACTCGCCGCCGCCTACCTCCGCCGCCGCCGCCGCTCCCCAACAACAACAACCAAACTCTTCCTCATCGAGCCCCGCCTCTTCCTCGCCGCCGCCCTCATCGGCGTGCTCACCGGCTTCGACGACTACCTCTACGCCTACGGCGTCGCCCGGCTCCCCGTGTCCACGTCGGCGCTTGTGATCGCGACGCAGCTGGCGTTCACCGCCGGGTTCGCTTTCCTGCTGGTGAAGCAGAGGTTCACGGCGTACTCGATAAACGCCGTCGTTTTGCTGACGGTGGGGGCCGGGGTGCTGGCGATGAATACCGATGGGGACCGGCCGAAGGAGGAGTCGCGTAGGGAGTACGCGCTCGGGTTCGCGATGACGCTGGCGGCGGCGCTGCTGTATGGTTTTATCTTGCCGCTGGTGGAGCTGGCGTATAAGAAGGGCGGGCAAGAGATTAACTACACGGTGGTGCTGGAGTTTCAGATGGTGATGTCGCTGTTCGCCACCGTCGTTTGCACCGTCGGCATGCTGGCGAACCGCGACTTTCAGGTTCGATCGGCTTTTTTTCGATTTCTTTGCTTTATTTTTTTTAGTTTTATTTCATCAGTTTATGAATAATTCTCTAAAACGAAAATTTATCAGCTTTGGCTCCACCAAAGGCAAACACTAAATTGAGACTTGGAGGGTGAAGTTTTTTTTTTTCTTTTCTTCCCCTCTATTTTTCTACGCTCTAATAATTTGTACCGGTCATAATTTGTGGAGTTAAGAATCTGATTTTTATATGAAATGTTTTTTGTATTTTGATTTTTTTTTGTAAAAATGAGTTGCATTGATGTGTAAGTTAAACAATGACATTCATTTTAATATATTTCAATATTTAATATTTTGAAACGCAACAGTGACATAAATAACAACTATATAAATACATATTATTGTTTTTTGCAAGAGTGATATAGATTTACTTTATTATGATTAGATACTACTTAGAACATTTGAATCTAGGACCTCCAGGTTTAAAGCTAGAGTAGTATTATCACTGTTATGGGACAATCCAAGTACCACATCGGTTGTAAAGGGAAGGAACCCTTGTATATTAGTGTCCACCAAGCTCATTAGTACGATATTGTCCGCTTTGGGCCAAGCCCGCACGGATTTGCTTTTGGGTGTCCTCCCCAAAAGGCCTCGTACAATTGGGGTGCTCAATTAGTACGATATTGTCCGCTTTGGGCCAAGCCCGCACGGTTTTACTCTTGGGTGTCCTCCCCAAAAGGCATCGTACTAATTGGGCTAGGTGAACACTTATATACAAGGGTTCTTTCCCTTGTATTACTGATATGGTACTTGAATTGTTCCATAACAATCACTAGACCAAATACTTGTTTGTCGTTCGTAAATAAATATTATTATTGCTGCGTGAATAACCATTGCCATTTGAAGAGATAACAGTAATCTTAATCTATTAGCTAACAGTAATCTATTAGCTAACAGTAATAGGGATTAGACTAAAAAAAAATTAGAATCAAAATGATGAAAGAGAGCCGAACAAACAACGAAGCACCTAAACAACAAGAACGACAAAAAGATACCCATAAAACCCCTTAGGAAAGGAGATCCCAAAGCCACAATATAAAACAAAACTTATTTGGCTGGCAGACATAAATGGATGATCATCAACATAACCAAAAACATTCTTTTTAGCGTACAACAAAAAAATTGATTACAACCTTCTATCAAAAAGAACAAAAAGAATATTGATCATGAGCAACAAAATCGTACAATTATATTAGACTGATGATTCCAAGATTCGGAACTTAGTATTAACCTACAACTGAATTTTCGTTTTTCATATTTTTGGTAGAAACCTACCTACTACTGAATTTTCATTTATAAGGGAACAAACTTATTTAATGTAATATCAAACTAGATTGAACACAATTAACTAACATTTTTTGGGTCCGGGTATAGATGGTGCATAGCAAAGAAAACTTTTCCCTGTCAACAAGAACTTAGTTCAATGATAATAACATTGGTTTTGAACATTAAGCTAGGTCTGAAATTCAATTCTTTTAAATATCGACTAATTGAAATACAAAAACCTATATCATCCTTATCATGTAGAAAGCCCTTATATCCGTTCTTGATTTTTGTATATGGTTGCATTCTTTGTGGGTCTTGAGTTATATATGTTGATGTTTTATTGAATACTTGAGAAGAGTATACATTAAATGTCTTGAACGAACAAATAAAAAACAATGAAAGAAATATTTTCAGACTCATATAATTAGCTTGTTTGTTTGTGAAATCACGATTTATTTAATTTCATATCAATTAAGATTTAAGACAACCTTTTTAAGTATAAGAATGCATTTGCTAAGCATTGATGGTATCAATTACTAGAATTTGCGCGTGATTGTTTCTACAAAATTGATAAGTCTGAAAAAGTTTAAAACTAGATGAAACAATAGAAAATCAAGGATTGAGAAAGCCTGTGGGAGGTTATATCGAAAAATTCAGTGGTATAATAATATTTTGTATTAAAATTATGATTTAATTATAGTTCAATTGTTTCCAACCACTGAAATCGACTATTGATTTGGGTAAGATATCATGTATTTTTTACCCGACCGACTGATACAATAGGATTTCTAAAACATTGCACAAAAACACAATAGTTTTTTTTTAAGTGTCTTTCACTACTGGAGGTTATAACGAAAAAAATCAGTGATATAATATTTTGTATTAAAATCATGATTTAACCATAGTTCAACCGTTTCCTACCGCTAAAACCAACTATTGATTTGGGCCAGATAGTCGGTATGTTTTACTCAACCGACCGATACAATAGGATTTCTAAAACATTGTTCAAAACACAATAGCATATTGTTTATAAAGTTTCTGTTTCCTCGGAAAAACCAAATGCCACCGCCGGTGCCGAATTGGTTTCCGGCGATGTTGATTCGATGTTTCGCGATGGAAACTCTTGCGGTGCCGTTGATCGAATGCACCGCTGATAGCTGAAATCGAGACGACCGTCAAATATCCGCCACCGGATGTCGGCGTCGTTGATTTGATCGGTGCAACTCTGACTTCTGAAAACGATGACGATCGTCAAATATCCACCGCCGTGCGATGTTGATTTGATCGATCGAACAGAAAACAAAGAAGATCGTCAAATATCCGCCGCCGGTGTCGGCGTCGTTGATTTGATCGATACACCCTTGACTTCTAATCAAACAACCGTTATTCGGTTCGCACCTCTCCAAACTACGTTCGAACGAGGGTGTTTGAGTTTTGAGGAATCTACGCTACCGCTACTCCTATGGAGATTCCTGTGGAGAGCTCCGCGACTACGACTAAGACTACAACTATGGAGATCCTTCCTGGAAGGAGAGCTCCGCGAAGGAGTTACAGAGAAAAGGTAAAGTTTTGACAGAGTTGTTCTGTGTTGATTTTTGGTTGTCCTCTTTTTCTCTCTCCTTGCTCCACTGCTTTTATTCGAAAAACTGCTTCGTAGTCTTCACGCTCGGTGGAACCGCTTCCTCAACTGCTCCGTTGTGAAATTCCACGTGTCTCAACCGCTTCGCTCCTCAAACTGCTTCGCGTGAACTTTACGTGCGTTGTTTTCATGATCCCGCGATGTCGTTTCCTTTCCCAAACAGCTCCGCTTGATTCTACCCGCGACATCGTTTTAATATTAAACGACTCCGCTTCCAGCCTTGCGGTGTCGTTTTCTTTCCCAACCAGCTCCGATTGTTTTTTTCTTCCGCGACACTGTTTATTATTAAACACTGTCGTTTGCTAGTATAGCGGTACCGTTGGGCTTCCTCGCGGTACCGTTTTTAATTCCGCGGCACCGTTTTAGCTCTCCGCGGTGCCGCTTATCCCTATCCAACAAGGAATATAAATAATAATTAAATAATCAAAACTCCTCCTCCAACCTTCATTAAACGCGCGGCCCTTTTTTATTTTCGGCCAGCGGTGTCGTTTCCGGTGTCGCGGTTCCGCTGAGCCTCCTTGCGGTACCGTTTTAACTCTCCGCGGTGCCGCTTGTCTCCAAACGATACCGTTTTTTACCCGCGGTATCGAATTAAATGCCGAGACTAATTAATGCGGCATTTAATTCCGGCCAAATTAATTTTAGGTGTCAACAAATGCCCCCCAACAATTTAGTTTATAAGAATTATGAACCAAATTGTTGTCACAACTTATACCACCTAAAATTAAATCAACTTTGCCAAGAAAATCCACAAATCACGTTTGCCAAAGGTGATTTTGGCAAAAAACAGTAAAAGTGGCATGCAATTCTACTGCAAGGCTGCACCCACGGCAGCGTTGTCTTGATCTTGTGTTTTTTTATATTATTTTTTTTTTGTCAGCCCTGTTAAATTCCACTACAGCCGCAGCCCAGCTTTGGCCAGAACGGCCATAATTTTTTTTTCACCAGCGCTGCCTCAAATTATTTATTTATTTATTATTTAATTATTTTTTTTTTTTTACTATTTCCGCCAGGGCTGTTGCGGCAGCAGCAGAGCTGCTATTTTTTTTTCTTCTTCACGGCTGGGGAAACAGCGGGCAGCGCCAAAAAAAAAATTTTTTTTTTTTATTTTTTTTTATTTACTGCCAGGGCTGTTGCGGCAGAACTGGATTTTTTTTTTTTAAAAAAATATTTCCACCAGAGCTGTTTGCAACAGCGGCAGGACTGAAAAAAAAAAAATTTGTATTTGTTCCGCCAGAACTGTTAGAGGCAGCGGCATAGTTGAAATTTTTTTTTTTTTTTTTTTTTTTACTGCTGTGGAAGCAGCGGGCAGCGCTGCAGCCTGCATGACTAGTATTATATATATATATTTTAACATATTGTGTGGCTTAATTTAGCCACATTATTTTTTTATAGCTAAATAAAAAAAAAACAAGCTAGATTTTGGCATAAACCATCACGCCAAAGGTCCAGACCCACTGCCAACTCCATGGATCGAACCAAACAAGCCATCCGTGAACGCCATTACTCTTCACAACTGGCTTTACACACGACCGAGAAGTTTTGAAGTCGGTGCTGGATTGAAACTTTTTAGCTCGTCTATCTCGAACATCCTTGTTTGAGATCCTACAAGCTTGACTTGGCTTTACTTCAGCCATAAGTTTTGATCGTTGACATGAAAAATCATCGGTATTTTTCGCTCTTGGCACGACATTCACATTTTTTGGCATCTTCGTCTTGCCAAGTCGACCATGCCGCATTGCCTGCTCAGACTGGTCCGGTTTTGTCAGTTGTACACTCTCACAATGTTGTTGGGAGTTTGAGCATCGAGATTTACTAACTCCATCGACACGTGTGTTGGTATTTTGTTTACCACGACCATGATCTTTGCACTTATCACACAACAACTTTGCATCTTTTGAACTTCCACGTGAGTTTGGAGTTTGTTTGGCATTGGCCTTGCCCCCCAGACCACCACTCATGGATTTGTTCCCAGCCAGCACTGGTGTGGCAACCCTATGTCGGGCTCGATTAAACTTGCCCCCCTTTTCACTCAGTGGAGCCTTTGGTGACAATTTACACGAAGGAATCGGTTGAGCAATACCAACTTTCGCAGCATTGAGTTTTTTCACGTGATCACCACCTCCATCTTGAGTAGTGTCTGTGGTGACCCTAGTTTGACTTTTCCTAGAACAAGGTGGATGTGGCAAACTTATTTGCCACTTACGGTGTTGTTTCTCCTTCAATCTACCACGAGATGGGATGGCATGCCCCCCGAGCGGCTTAGGTTGAACAACATTGTAAAATTTGTCATCTTTCAAGATATCACAGTTGTTCTTCCTAATTTTATGAAACTTATTATAAACACGTTTAAATTTTGTTCTTTGTTGTGGCTTTCGCAAGACCGCTCTAACTTTCCAGTCCTTCAAAACAATAGTGTTCACAGGAGAACCAACATGAGAATTGCTGGCCCCTAACGCCACTGTTTTAGCCACAAGTTTAAGTGAATCCTTATTGGCAATACCGGATACATGTTCATCTATCATCTCAAAAAATTTATCCATTTGTCTTCCAAGAGAATCACAAGGCTTATTTAAAGAGATAAAATAGAGATTTACCTGCCGGTAATACTCCTCTACAGCTCGACGAAGAGACAGGAGTGCAACATGCCCATCGATGCTCGACATGGATTGTGGCCACTCCTTCATCCAACCGATATGTCTATCTGCCTCCACTGCTCGGTCAACTTCAATGCCGACCACATGCTCCGCCTTCTCAGATTCTTGTGGAAGATCAACGTTGTGTTTTCCATGCCGCAGAGCCATATTTCACTTCAAACACACGTGTCCCACCAGGCGTGCCAAAATGTTTCCTCGGGAAAAACAAATGCCACCGCCGGTGCCAATTGGTTTCCGGCGATGTTGATTTGATGTTGCACGATGGAAACTCTTGCGGTGCCGTTGATCGAATGCACCGCTGATAGCTGAAATCGAGACGACCGTCAAATATCCGCCACCGAATGTCGGCGTCGTTGATCTGATCGGTGCAACTCTGACTTCTGAAAACGATGACGATCGTCAAATATCCACCGCCGTGCGATGTTGATTTGATCGATCGAACAGAAAACAAAGAAGATCGTCAAATATCCGCCGCCGGTGTCGGCGTCGTTGATTTGATCGATACACCCTTGACTTCTAATCAAACAACCGTTATTCGGTTCGCACCTCTCCAAACTACGTTCGAACGAGGGTGTTTGAGTTTTGAGGAATCTACGCTACCGCTACTCCTATGGAGATTCCTGTGGAGAGCTCCGCGACTACGACTAAGACTACAACTATGGAGATCCTTCCTGGAAGGAGAGCTCCGCGAAGGAGTTACAGAGAAAAGGTAAAGTTTTGACAGAGTTGTTCTGTGTTGATTTTTGGTTGTCCTCTTTTTCTCTCTCCTTGCTCCACTGCTTTTATTCGAAAAACTGCTTCGTAGTCTTCACGCTCGGTGGAACCGCTTCCTCAACTGCTCCGTTGTGAAATTCCACGTGTCTCAACCGCTTCGCTCCTCAAACTGCTTCGCGTGAACTTTACGTGCGTTGTTTTCATGATCCCGCGATGTCGTTTCCTTTCCCAAACAGCTCCGCTTGATTCTACCCGCGACATCGTTTTAATATTAAACGACTCCGCTTCCAGCCTTGCGGTGTCGTTTTCTTTCCCAACCAGCTCCGATTGTTTTTTTCTTCCGCGACACTGTTTATTATTAAACACTGTCGTTTGCTAGTATAGCGGTACCGTTGGGCTTCCTCGCGGTACCGTTTTTAATTCCGCGGCACCGTTTTAGCTCTCCGCGGTGCCGCTTATCCCTATCCAACAAGGAATATAAATAATAATTAAATAATCAAAACTCCTCCTCCAACCTTCATTAAACGCGCGGCCCTTTTTTATTTTCGGCCAGCGGTGTCGTTTCCGGTGTCGCGGTTCCGCTGAGCCTCCTTGCGGTACCGTTTTAACTCTCCGCGGTGCCGCTTGTCTCCAAACGATACCGTTTTTTACCCGCGGTATCGAATTAAATGCCGAGACTAATTAATGCGGCATTTAATTCCGGCCAAATTAATTTTAGGTGTCAACAGTTTCTTTCACTACTTGCAATCATAATAATGAGCGTAACACTTATCATGAAAAACGTGCATAACCCTGCTAAGAGAAAAGTTAGTTCTGGATAGCTCCTACTTAAATTTTTATTTATTTATCATGCACGATCAAGTCTACACTACTCAAAAATCTTAAATTAATGTGATTTTAATTTCATGATTAAACTGCCCTTTTGCTTTGCATTGTCAAACCACTTTTACGAGTTCCTTTCCCGCTTTTCCCCCCTTTTGTCTCTCGATTATCCGTTTGTGTCCAACTTGATTAGCAAAATTTAATTATCCAAAGGAGAGTTGATGATTATCCTAACAAGTCTTTCTTAATTAATTTGTTCTCGACAAATAATGTAACAGGCGATTCCAAGGGAAGCAAGGGGATCAAACCTGGGAGAAACCCAGTACTACGTCGTTTTGGTGTTCAGCGCCGTCATATGGCAGGCCTTCTTCCTCGGAGCCATCGGCGTCATCTTCGTCGGCAGCTCTTTACTCTCCGGGATCCTCATCGCCGTCCTGCTCCCGGTGACGGAGGTCCTCGCCGTCATCTTCTACGGCGAGAGTTTCCACGCGGAGAAAGGCGTCTCCCTCGGCCTTTCCCTCTGGGGATTCGTCTCCTACTTTTACGGCGAACATCGCGAGAACAACAACAAGAAGAAGAAGAAGTTGAAGCAGCGGCGGCTGTTGTTGGATTCTGCGCCGCAAACGGAAATGTCTCAGACCACGAATCAAACATGTGTGGATGTCTGAATCCGTGACATGTTCAAATAAAAGAATGGAACTAATTTGGTGTCTGATTCCTCATCGGAGCATGTTTTGAATGAAGTTAGTATCGAGAAAGATAACATTTTGCCAATGTATGCCACTCAATTCATGGCTGCAATTTTGCAAGGGTCGACTTTGACACTCGTTGCATATACAAAATGGCCAAGATACTACTCAATCCCCATCAAGCAAAAGGCACATTTTTGTTGAATTTGATATGAAGAACTGATTCTGCTAGAGTATATGAAAAGACTTGGCAGACATGGGTGATATGAGATTCTTTATCGGCGTTGTAAATCATAATGTCGTTGAAAAAAACCAGCACTGATTTGCGTAGTAGCGTCAAAAAATTCTTGTTCATAATAGTATGAAAAGTAGATGGTGCAATACAGGACTTGATGGTAGCCTAAATGGAGGTCATGTTTGGTGAAGTATGCTGCACCATGAAGCTCATCAAACATTTTGCAAAGTGGTCGAAATTGGAAAACGATCCTTGACTGTGACCAAATTCAAAGCTCGATAATCCTTACAGAAATGCAATGTGTCATTGATAACATCGTATTTGCACATGTTTGCTCCCTCGTTTTTTTTTTTATTGTTTTGGCTCATAGTTGTGTGTTTCTAGGCCAATTTTATGCTAGGTTGGGCTCTTATGTCACATTTCAGGTCCTACAAAGCAAGAGGAAGCTTAGGCGCAAAAAGTTTCTCGAAATATATTGAAAATTGATCTCATTTTGTATAGCACAACGAACTCGTTCCATGTGTGCAAAAAAAAATTGAAATCCGAGTTAAAACGAAGAAGATATGAGCCGATTATGAAAACTAGAGAAAATAAAATGTTTTTAATTGACAACCCTTATATCTGGATTTTCTAGGCCGACTTAGATATAAAGGTCCAGATTTAGTTACTCATAGTTACTCACCCTATCCTAAGCCGGACAAGGATGAGATTATGAGAACAAATTTTTATGTCTGTTTGTTGGGAATGGATCAGGTCAGTAACCTTATGGTGAGTAAACATGAGTAACCCGTCCACATCAGCATGACATCGGCATCCTCTCTCTCATGGAAAGCCTTTATTTTTTCCCTCTTTAATCTTTGACGGACGATTTCTCGCTCATTTTAAGTTGAAATTTAATTTTTTTGCACAGTTAGATCAGATTAATTGTGCTCTTCAAAATGATATCCACTTTAATATATTTTTCGAACAAAAAAAATTGAGTCATTTTTTACCAGCCTATACCATATGGTATTGACTGGTATTGAAATAAAAGCATACCTATGTTTTAAAAAACGTATCATGGTGGTATGAACAAACCAATACTGTAGGATGGTTGAATACATGATTGTAGAAGTATATTAATTGTAATTTACGACTTTTAACATTGTATACCACACAATACCACCCCGTACCAGGGTGGTATTGTATGGTATTGTGTGGTATTTTTTGGTCCTGTAATTTGTTCACCCAGAAATTTGTAGATCCAATAGATCATGATGAACTCGTCCCTTCTGAGCAAACGTTTTCAAAAACGAATTAAAAACGAAGAAGATACCATACAATACCACCCCGTACCAGGGTGGTATTGTATGGTATTGTGTGGTATTTTTTGGTCCTGTAATTTGTTCACCCAGAAATTTGTAGATCCAGTAGATCATAATGAACTCATCCCTGCTGTGCAAACGTTTTCAAAAACGAATTAAAAACGAAGAAGATACCATATGGTATGCAGTTGGTACCGAGAGGCCAGAATTTTTTTTCCTAAAAAAATATTGAAAATTGATCTCATTTTGTAAAGCACGGTGAACTCGTTCCATCTGTGCAAAAAAAATTAAAATCCAAGTTAAAACGAAAAAAATATGAGTCAATTAAGAAAGCTAGTGAAAATAAAAATAGCCTTTAATTCTCAATCCTTAGATCTGGATTTTCTAAATGAAGGGTCCAGATTTGGTTATTGATGGGTGCATAACCCATGGTTATGCACCCTATCTTGAGCCCTGTTTGTTGTTTGTGTTTTCTCCGGGCGGTGCGCGCGGGTTCTTTGTTTTCCTAGTTCCATTCGGTTTTGGTACCGAATCAGCATTTAGGCGGTGGGAATTAATAACTGCTTTGCTTCTTCATTGTTTGATAATGATTTCACATATTCGCCCTATAAATAATAAGTGTAATAAATGGTTTGCTAATTAAGACAATCTCCCGAGTGCATGCGTTTACTTAATTAGGGGCATGCGTTTACTTAATTAGGGGTAGTTTGCTTGTTGGATTTGAAAAATGAGGGTTTTGGCCAACAAAAACCTTGAAATTTATGTTGGATTTATTGGATTATGGATTTGAAGAGTTTAATGTTTGCATGATAGATTTGATGATGGATTTGTGATGGATTTGTTAAATAAATAACTAACCATCAAGGATTTGCAAATCCCAAATCAATATGTGGGATTTACAAGTCCGTGGGGTCCACGGATTTGGTTCCAAAATAAAGACCAAATCCGTGGAGCACCCTTCAACAAACAATGGACTTATGTTAAATCCATCAAATTTTGGATTTGAATACAAAATCCATGACCCAAATCCAACAAGCAAACGACCTCTTAGTTTCAGGGTTAGGGATTGCAGCTTGCTGGCGGTTGTGGGCGCGAGTGAGAAGGAGAAAGCGAATCGGTTGTACCTGTACGTGTGACAGCATACAGATGTTAACTGGCAGCACCTTCGTATTTATATCTGGCAGCAGTGGCGGATACATGGCACTTTGAGGGTGTCCCGGGACACCCCTAAATTTTGGGAACACGATTATTCAACCCCGATAGTATTTTGCATATTGGTGTAAAAATATTTTTAAGTGATAGCGGGACACTCTTAAAATTTGGAAAAATGATTATCCAACTCCCAGTAGTAGTTTGCGTATGTATAAATAAAAACGTTTAAGTGGTAGCTTGTATGATTTGAACTTGGGTCACTGCTGTTAATAGAAAACATATTTTTCATTAGATCACAACTCATTTGTTCTTGTATTTTAAATCCAAATATACTAGTAAAAAGCTATTCCTAATTCACAATTACTTTCAAAAGCTAACGATTAAACTCGATTACTAACTCTCCTTGTCTAGTAGGATATATCGAGAGAGATTTGTAGAGCATTGTTAGACACAAATTTTACAACTTTTTCAGAATACGCGACACATTATGTGCTTTGTTGTATTTTGTACAAGTTAGATATTTTATATTTAATAATTAATTTAATTTAATTTTTAGATGAGGACACCCCTATCTAAAATTTCTGGATCCGCCACTGTCTGGCAGCATCGCCTTATTCGTTGAAGGGACACGGAGATGGAGATATCAGCCGGTCAAACCTCCAGAAAGGGTATTGGGCGCCGGCGGCTGGGGATCAATCATCCATCACTGGATTAACTCCACCACGACGAACCCCTGTCTCGCAGGCTTCACCGCCGCCGGCCCTCTAGGTTCGTTTGATTTTGTACGTAGTTGCTATTTTTATATGATCTAGATCATGTGTGCCCACCCTGAACTGTGCTTGCTTCGGGGAATTTTGTGTTGTATTTCCAATTCTGTTAACAAACTCTCAATTAACTACTTGTGTATATATAGCACTCCCTTCCTCCCCCATTCATTTCATTAGGGTTTCAATTTAGGCCTGTCAGTTCGGGTTCGGGTTTTCGGTCGGGTAACCGAAAACCAAACCATTATTATTTTTTTATTTTTTTAATATCGGGGTTGTATTTCGGGTTGAAACCAAAGTGGTGCTGGTGGTTTTGGTTTCGGGTAAACCCGAGAAACCGAATTGTAACCGAGAAACCGAAACTGCTTAGAGCCTTGAAACGGAGCGCCGAATGAAATCTAACAAGAAACCCCGCACTCTCCGCAATGGAACCGTGGAAGTTCTGAGGATTTGTATTAAATTTATTTGTTAATTTTTACTGTAAATCTCCACCGGGGGCCATGTTTATTTATATGTACTTGATTAACTATAATTGCCCGGAAAGCACAATCCACGTTAGTTAATTAAGTTCAGCAGTAGTGCAAACTAGCTTCTGTCATTGAATGGATATAATCATATACTATAACTACATGTACTTGATTAACACTAGCAAGGACCCGCTCGCTGTCGCTTCGGGCGTGCGCGAGAACATAATACTAAAGGGGTAAATGACACATTTGGTCACCGAGATTACTAAATCGTGTCATATTTAGTCACTAGAAAAATTTAATATCAATTTTGGTCACTCGAATTACTGACACAGGTCACATTTGGTCACTCTTCTGTAGCCTCTGTCCAACTCCGGTCACTCGAATTATTGAAAAATGTCACATTTAGTCACTCGTATTACTGAAACATGTCACATTTAGTCACTCTCCCAAAAGTTTCCGTCCAACTACATTAATGGAGTTGGACGGAAACTAACGGGAGAGTGACTAAATTTGACCAGTTTCAATAATTCGAGTGACAAAAATTGATATTAATTTTTTCTAGTGACTAAACATGACACAATTTAATAATCTCAGTGACCAAATGTGTCATTTACCCTAATACTAAATAACAATGTACAAATTATCGTAAATGGTGAGTAGAAGATGACAACAATTTACTATATATCCAACAGATGGTACTAATAATAATACTATAATAGATGTCAACATAACGTTTACTTCATATAAGTTTGCTGCTTGTACAAAACAGAATCTGGTCTAACCAAACGAAGATGGTTTGGTTAATTTACAACTCTGAATATGATGTTCACAACCCAATTGTGAGAATCATCTTCCAGACACTCGGGGCCATTGGATAGCAGCACGAGAACTTCGCGTCTGGTGGATGAACAAGGTGAGAAATTTTGTAAATAGAATACCAGCAAGCACCCTCGCACGATCCTACATATGACTTGTGACCACCATTATCCAAATTGACTACGATATGAGCTGCTCAGAACGAATATGATATGTTGGCAACGTACAACATAATGTTATACTATATTTACTAGCTTGGAAGACTGCAAACTTCTTTTGACAACCATCCATAAGGCAAATAGCAATCGCAATTGCGCCATATGCTTTTTGCTTTTTCATTAGTCCACAAAGCTCGACAAGTACATTGCGCCATTGTCTCGAGGAGTCGAAGTTCATCCTTCTCATCGAGAGACAGCTACTAGGACCTGATATTCTCACCCAATGGAGAAGGAAGAAAAGATGTCAATAGCTGCTCGATCAATTCCACTGTAGTCACAAAAGTTTGAGAAGACCGCGATACCTTCTTGTGACGGAGGCTCCCCGGAACAATGAAATCTGTACATTGACAAGAAGGTTATGGCAAATTCGTCCTCCTGGCATGTTTGCTTGCGGACTTTCTTCAGCCCAGCGTCTTGCCGAGGAGTATCATGATTAGAATGAGGACCGAAAACTCGAGCATGAATCTAGGACTATTGGCATGTTCAAGGAGTCGCTGCCACCTGTAAGTTCAACCAGTAGATAGCTGCTGATAAAGCCTGTGCTCGTCCAGTTCAGGATCTTTAATCCAGTCAGAAGCAATATCGCTGAAGCTGCTCCCTCGTGGGAGACAGTCAAAATGTAATGCATATGCAATTCAAGATGATGCAGTTATACAGGTTCATTCACAACTAGAGAGTTACCGACAAAGTTCTGCACCCTAGACAATGCCATGAATCCTGGTTTCATACTAGGGAAATAGTTGCAACTCTTGACTCTGTTATAGGGGGTAAGAAAGACGTTCGATTCGAGTAACTCAAGTAAAAGTGAATAATATCTCTTCGAGGGAGAAATGATTATAACGCAAGAAACTTAATATAAATGTCAATCAATAGCCCGAGGCTTTGAAGCATGCAGGCAAAACAATGCAGTTGAGCACAAAACCTTATGCTGAGCCAAGTGCAAAGCAGTAGATAAGCTTATGTTAAATAAAAAGAACAGATTTAAGAATGAAGTACACTAAAAGGCAGATATGTAAGATTTTTACTGGGCTTCGCTGAAGTTCGTCATTAGCCTCAATACCCAGACTGACCAACTATGCCTAATAGCAGAGGAATACGAAACAAAATATATGCACCAATCAACAGATATGAAGAATGAACTTACCAATCTGTTTCAGTGGAAGTATCATTTTCGTGCTTTATCTCTTCCACAGCAAACTCTTCCAGTATAGCTCTTTGTCTTTCATTTAGTTCCCTTAAAAAGAAATTAGCAACATGCTTAGGATCATTAAGGAGCAAACCACAAGTACAATGTTCCCTCGAAACTTACAGCTCAATATGCTCATCATGCTAAATTTGCTTACGTTGGGAGGTTGATTCTAAATCTCACATATTGATCTCCATGGTTCACAAGAAATCCATGCCGTGGCAGTCCTTCAGAACCATACAAAAACTTTGAGCATATGAAACAACTCAAGGCGAAAATCAAACTTACAACAAGAAAGACAACATACCTTTGCGTCTCAATACAAGAAGTTGTCCATGTTGAACCCCCCTTGGTATCTGATATGACATTAAAGAGGAAGCATAGGTTAGCACAAAATGCCAGTATCCCCACATATATCATCATATGCTATTTGGAATTTAACTAAGGGGGAAAAGTAGGTGTCTGGTGTAAGTAATAGTGCATTTGAGAAAGAAAAGGGATAATGTCCTCCTTCAGATACCACCAATTTATAGCTTCCTATTTCCCACAGCTAGTAATGAAAATCGGCTGCCTATCTCTAGGACATCATTTACAACTGTGGGAAAAGGTAACCATATATGACGATTGACAAAACAAGCTCCTCGACTACAAAAAGAAGCACTGTAGGCAGAATATTGAAAAGCAAGCAAGTCAAGGAAAAGCTAAGGCAACGGTTTATTACTTGTACTTGCGTCTTTCCTGACAAAGTTGGCACCTCAATTTCACCACCTAGAATTGCCTGCGAAAGGATACAACAATAATGTCATGACAACATATCTACACCACAAAACCAGACTTTTGACGGGATGAAGTTCAGCTCAGACAGACAAGAGGTGGCCAAAGGGGAAAAAAGAAACAAAAAAGAAATACTCACTTGGTTAAAACTAATATTAGCATCCACATAAACATCGGCTCCGTCTCTAGTAAATAGTGGATCATCGGCCACCTGTATTGCAATAACAAACCCAAAGGTCTTGAGAAAAGTAAATAAGATCCCCAGGAAAACTTTCAATAGCTAATTATGAGACAACAACGCTACTGTATAACAGGTTCGGTGCTAAGTGCAGTCAGTCTACAGGTTGAAAGATCCAGTAGTACCTTCCTTCTTAAAGAAAGAAAGTTTCCCAGATCGAAAAGACTAAGTAAACGTGGGTACAGAGAGGATAACCATCTCTCAGATAGAGACAAATGTCAGCAATCATAAATACTAATGGGAAAAAAGAAACACGAAGTCCCTATCAGATCCATATCAAGGCATTAATAAACTGCTAGCAGAAAACTCATAATACTGACTCCTAGCACTCAGACTTAAGCACATCTTTCTCAGATTTGAAATCAATTCAGAAGCTGAAAATTGTAGGGTTCTAGAATGCACTGTAAGGTCTGCAATCGGGTCCATTTGTGATTTTCTAGTTAGAGACAGAAAAGCTTGTCGTGATGAATGAACGATGGCTTGTGACTTAATCATGCAGAGAAAAAAGTGAATCAGTAAGCCTGTGCCTTTATATGTATAAACAGGTTGCCTGGTTGACTTCTTCGTCCCCCAAAATTCCCAGCTGCTGGAACACGGATTGTATCTCCTGAATCCACACCTATATATCCATTAACAAGAGTTGGTGACTTGGTGTGAAAAGGCATAGAACGGAACTCAATTGAAAAAAATTCACGTCATAATTATTTAATCAAATAATTGAGTATTTCAACGAACCTGCTGGAATTGTAACTTTCACTTCTTTAATGCCCTCAACTACCCCAGATCCTCTGCAAGACTTGCAGTGTCCCTGTGCCAAAAGGACAAATTAGAATTGCTTGACAATGCAACCAAAGATTAGATATCATAATCAACAGATTAGTTGGAATGTTCATAATACCTTAATGATCCGTCCTGACCCTTTACACATACTGCATGACGTTGTGAATGGAGGTATAGTAACCTGGTCTTGAGAAAAATAGAATTGTAAACAAATAAACAATTTGAACAGCTCAGGGTTTTCTGCTACAAAGCAGCAGTAAAATTCTCCACCACACTTACTTTCCCTACTCCTCTACAAGTTGGACACAGTCTTGTCTCAGCATTAGCAGGATAGCCTCTCCCGTCTACAATGAAAGAAAGAGGTACACCCCATATGTTAAATCCTAAAGCAAGATCTGAAGACTATTTCGTACAAGTACAAAAAAGATCAAAGAATTTAACTCTTCAATCTATTTGACCTGTTTCTGGGACACTGTTTTGTGTGATGACCTTTTTGAAAAAGCATAGAGCATAACAACCAAAGCTTTTATAAAAGTGTCTGAGCAATTCATCAGGTTCCTACTGTCATCATAATGTATGCACAATTTTTCTTCAGTTAGGTTAGTACTTCAAAAATATGGCACTCTCAACCTTCAGTCCCTTATACAAACTCAAAAGCTAATCAGCTAGTCAAAGGAGTTCCTTTGTTTATAAAACCTGCAAAAACAGGATTCTCATAATATTCAATGACATGTAAAAGTGTCGAATGCTCTAATGCATCCAACTTTTGACGGGTTATACATTAAAAATAAGTAACATGAGAAAAGCATCATCGCGCATTGTTTAGAAAAAACACAGAACTGCCAGTAATGAGAACCATTTCAGTTCTCACTCCAACATCCCTTCCCACAGCTAAGAAAAGACATGGTGTGTTATCATAAACTACCCAAGACTCAGATATAAGCTCAGTGGTAAGAGATAAACAACCACAAAACAATGGCAGAGGTCAAAAAGGGGAAAACTAACACTTTCTGATCAGAATTTTCTAAATGTAACAGTTTAACTTACCACAAGAATCACAAGCCATATGCGCATCAAATGACAGTTGTTTTGTACACCCACTTGCAGCTTCAGAGAAAGAAAGAACTACCTCTGCCTAAGAAGTATGAGAATGTGAGATGAAAAACACCAAACAAGAAAATGTTGATATTGGAGGAATAGGCCAGTCTGAAATAAGCATTGGATGCAAGTGAGAAAGCAAGATACCTGAATGTCAGAGGAAATTTGATCATTCTCCACTTCAAAGATTATCTAAGCAAGTTTTTGTTTCAGAATCTCATAAGTCAAAGAAGACAACAGGAGGTGCCAGATTTAAGATTGGAGTGCAGAATACCTCGGAGAATATTTTCCGAAATGAATCTGAGAAATCAGTATTGTAAGAAGATCTAAAATTCCCTGCACTGCTAGCACCATATCGAAATCCAGTTGCATCATCAGCGTCAGATCTAAACCCCTGTGCATTGCCAGAACCAGACAAGCAGCAATATTCAGTCCATGCAATATTTTGAACATAACATATCTAAATCAGGTGTGAACACCTTCAGAAGAGAACTAAAGGTGGGAACAAAGAATACCAAGTAAAAGCTAGGAATTAATTACGTTGCCAAAGTATACAGCAACAAACTCTAAGACTATAAATGGAGAGTGAGGTAATTCAGATAGAAAAGGATGCCAACTACGGTTTGTATGAAGGAAGACTCTGAGAACTTACCATGTCATATTGTGCTCTCTTCTCAGGATCTTGCAGGGTCTAAGATATATCATAGCAAATGAAACAAAATCACGATCAGATATTCAAAGTGAGTTAGCCACACACTGAAGAATCCCACCAACCCATCAATGATAAATTTTACACAGAGTTCTAGGAAATAAGAACAGTAAGGAAAATGCAGTAACTCAAACAGTGTATGTATGAACCTCATAAGCTTCTCGTATCTCTAAGAATTTCTTTTGTGCAGAAGGGTTGTTCTTGTTTGCATCAGGATGGTATTTCTTTGCCAACTGCATGTACAATTAATTGATAAACGTAAGCACATCGACATGGCTAATTGATAATTTTTCAATTCCTCAAGAGATGTGATAGCTGAAAGAGAGTCGACAAAATTTCTCATACAATTTACGCAAGGTTTGCAAACCATATACACTATGTCATTCGCTGAACCAATATCAAGATGAAGCGTCTAGGCTCCAAAATGCAACTTAACAGCAGTTTGAAGGAAAGCCATAATGAGATGCAACATATTAGCATGAAGATTGGCAACAGATCATGGAATGAAGCGATATGGTTCAATCCTTACAAAACCTCATGAAATGCACTCACCACACGGAAGGCTCGTTTTATATCTTCTTTGCTCGCATTTTGAGGAACGCCAAGAACTTCATAATAGCTTTGTTCCTTAGCATGAATGGATCCTGGCAAAGCGAAAACAATAGATAACTTGAGCCACAAAAATTCAAGTTCGGAAAGTAGAACAAGCTACATAGAGAGCACCCAAAAGAACCTGTAGCATGAAAACATCTCCACTGTAGCAACGGAATCTCCACCATTCCAACACCAGTAGGTCTTCCAATCGACGTATACCTCTGCGTAACTTATCCAACGAGAAGATTGGAAACAGCAAGAATCAGTCAATGAGAGCTCATTGACAAAAGATAATTCCACTGAATTAGCATTCGTTGAGTGCTTACTGCGGTAAGGAAGATTAGACGGAGACAATGTAGTGATTCTACGGAGGCTATATCCTCCATTTCCGGCGGCTTCCACAGCCGTGGATGACAAAAAGTGCAGCCGGCACTGCACGGCATCGAAAAAAATTTGCAGCTGAATTATATCAATCAGCAAAAAATACAGAGTTTCAACGCGAATCCTTTTCACTTACCAGCTTGTGCCAACTGTATCTTCCCATTCCGAAGCCAGAAACCAATCGGCGGTGCGCCGACAAGTGATTAGGATCGGCGATGAGTTTGTGTGAAACCGCTGCTCCTCCGGGGAAGAGAGGATGGAAGAACGGAAAAATTTGAAAGAGAAGTGAACCTTCGACGAAATGAATTGATAATTTGATTAATCAACGTACCCTTCTTGCTCTGCAAGAATCGAATTTTTCATTTTCTGCCACCGATTCACAACAATGGGTTTAGGGCTTAGGGCAGCAGTGCAACGTCGTCGTTTTGCAGTAGACAATGGACGTCGTGGGCCGTTAGTTTTCTGAGGTTGGAAAATGGACGATCCAGATCTCCTTCTGGCGACTTCTTGGCGGTCAAAAAAAAAATTTCTCCTGCCGAGTCAGAATCTGCCCATTCTAAACTCCATTGAGCAAGAGCGCAAGCTCAAAGCAGAAACGGCTATGGCGATTCGCGCGTTTATTTCCAGTCTCCGACGGCAAACGACGACGACGACGACGACGACGTCTCTCTTTCGAGATTCCTCTTTGTTTCTGAGAGCATCTAGCCCGAATTCTTGCTGCAGTGTAGAGCTTCATTACGAGGCGAGGTTCCTTTCCTCCGTCGCCTCGCCTAGCCATGTTGCCGGCCGCGGAAGCCTCAAGGATAAAGATTCGAGGCTGAGATTTCCTTCCGGAGAGAGTCCGACGACCCTTCTCAAGAACTGGACCAACGAGGGGCGGAAAATTGCAGTCTCCGAGCTCAAACGCAAATACAAGAAGCTCCTCGGAGCTAAACGCTACCGTGACGCACTCGAGGTTCTTGCTCTCTTCCTTACTCTCTCTGCTTGAACTTCGTAATTGTAGCCCTTGAAACATTATTGCATACAGATGCTCGAGTCTCAGAAGCTTCATTTGATCTCGCTCATTTTGTAGATACTAGAATGGATGGAAATTCACAGCAAGAACCAAATGTCAGTGGAGGATTACGCCAACGGGCTTGAATTAACCCTCAGAATGCGAGGTATAACCAAGGCTGAAGAGTATTTCGAGCGCCTGCCCAGCTCTGCCTCACGTAAAGCAGCTTTTCTTCCGATTCTTTGCTCCTACGTCAGACAACGAGACGCCGCCAAAGCTGAGGCCTTCATGGTGAAAATGAACGAGTTGGGACTGATTCTGGATGCTCATCCGTTCAACGAGATGATGAAACTCTACGTGGCCACATCTCAGCATCTGAAAGTGCAGCAAGTGATCGAACAAATGAAGCAAAATCAGATACCCAGAAATGTTCTGTCTTATAATCTCTGGATGTGTGCCTGTGGTGAGGCATTGGAGGTGAACAAAGCTGAGATGGTTTACATGGAAATGGTGGATGATCAGACCGTTGAAGTTGGATGGAGTGGCCTGTGTACCCTGGCTAATGTCTACATAAAAGCCGGTCTTGTTGACAAAGCTCTCGTTGCGACTAAGAATGCAGAGAAGAAGCTGTCTCCAAGTAAGCGCCGTGGTTATTTCTTCCTCATGACAATGTACTCTTCCCTGAAGAACAAAGAAGGTGTTCTGAGGGTTTGGGAAGCGAGTAAAGCAGTTGGTGGAGGAAGAATCAGTTGTGCTGATTACATCTGTGTGTTGTCGTGTCTGGTGAAGTTGGGTGCCATTGTTGAAGCCGAGGGAGTGTTCGTTGAATGGGAGTCGAATTGTCGGAACTATGACATGCGGGTGGCTAATGTGCTTCTGGGAACATATGTGCGGAGTGGCATGATGGAAAAGGCCGAGTCTTTTCATTATCACACCATTGAGAAGGGCGGGAATCCAAATTACAAGACGTGGGAGATCTTGATTGAAGGATGGGTGAAGACTCAAAAGATGGATAAAGCCGTGAGTGCGATGAAGAAAGGATTGAGTAGGCTGAAAAGTTGTCATTGGAGGCCTTCAGAGAATATCTTGATGCCCATCGCTGAGTACTTTGAGCAACAAGGAAATCTGGAAGAAGCAAATGACTATCTAAGGATTATCCATCACTTGGGTGTTTCAAGCTTACCGTTGTATAAATTGCTCCTCAGGTTCCACCTCCAGGCTCAAAAACCGGTCCCTCACATCCTGAGTATGATGGAGAAGGATGAAATTGAGATGGATGATGAGATAACTGCATTAGTCCGAGCCTCCACAAGTGGTGCAAATTGCAATCAGTGACATTGCTCATGGTAGTTTCGGTGAATTTGGGTGCCCCCAATCATCGGAGTATGCGGGAAATCAGATGGCGTGTTTAACAAGTTTCTGGCAACTACAAGCCGAACCTTGCTGACACAGTAGCTCCTCTGGGGGATTAGTATGATTAAAGTTAAAAAGAGTTACTTCGTGATGCTTGGTTTCCGATCCCAGCAAACTTGGTCCCCTACCTTTAGTCGTGCATTTCATTTTTATGAAATTGGGATATCCTTTGTTACAGTTTCTCTCATTGATGATACATTGAGATGGAAAAGCTTGGTGGTAAATGAGAATTAATGATGAAGAAAGCAGGCAGCTTTACAGATGCCAAAAGAAAACCAGATATCTGAACTCTGAAGTATGACAAATTAGCTCAAATTCTGCACCTCCAGACATCTGCAAAGCAAATGGAAAACTAACTAATGCATCGCCTTTAGTCCATGCATCATTGTAGATCTTCGCCTGTGAATCTTATTTCTGGCACCGCAAATCCAGCATCGGGTCTGAGTGACCCGACTCCTGAGGAAGGCTTGGATCATGTTTACGAAATTATTGTTAGGCATTGGTTTTTATTTTTTTGGTCAACGCAAGTATTTCCCGAACAAACAATAGTTTTGATGCCAAATTGCCAATGGTCTGAAAGTTCAAGCAATTAGCACAAGGTTGCCTGCAGTTGATGACAATAACATGTGTTGTTGCACGCCATTGCAACAAAATTGACAATCAGTCTCCCACAAACAGAGCAAGACAGACCAGCTCAGCTCAGCACATCACAAAGAGCACTTTGGGTATGATAGACCGAGAGCACCTTGCGCCGCCAGCATAAGTTGAATCGTAGATATATATGGTTGACCGGGAAGTGATCGAAAAAGTCAGTCCCTGAAACTTCCTCGAGACTTCAAAATTACTTCAGGGATGATAAGGCTAGTTCGACATTTCGTGAGATCCGGTCATGAACTGGTTCCTGCTGCCACACAGCAAACAGATCCATAAGTCTGCTCAATAAGAAAACATCAGCTGCATTGTAAATTGCGATTACCTCTGTCAATGGTGGTTTGAATTCCGATTTTGTTATCGTCTCGTACAAGAAAATGTACCTGATTGTCAAAGAGAGGTGTCATTTCTAAGAGAATGAAGTCGTCCCATATCAAGAAGAAAGAGGAATCGCAACCTAGTCTCACTTTGCAATGAAGTTCAAGAATATTGCTAAGAATCTTTTGTTATTTTTTTTATGAAGAACGGTTAGATTAGCATGAAATGAACAGAAGTAAAGCTAATATGAATTAACTTACCGCCAGGCTAGCTCACTCACGAGTTCTTCTGGAGCATCAGGGAGAACCTAGAGAAGCCACAAGTGCATGAAAAAACAAACTGTCATTAGACTAAATGCAAGCAACATATTAAACTAAAGGGGATTTCTTGAGTTTTGACTTGCCTCATCTTCATATGGGTTGCAGTGATTCTTGAACCACAACCTCAAGAACTCCTATAGATTGTCCCCAAATTGCACAAGTTAGATTAGTCAGATACAACTACTGAATAGCTAACCAAAAAAATACCTATACGAGAATAATGCACCTTATCGACATTTTCAGGTTCAAGGCCATTCTGGAAACGTTCTTCATAAGAATGACCAATCCAGTATCTGCTCGAGTCAGGTGTGTGCACCTAGTAACACGAGACAAATCATTTAACGGGAATGGATGTCAATAAAAATGAGGAGGACAAGTGAACAGGATTTGATACTAAAGCAAGTGTTTCCAAGAACTGGGAAAAGTTCCGGGCGTACTTCATCAATTAATAGAATGGAACCGTCTGAGCCTTTTCCAAATTCGTATTTCGTGTCCACCAAAATCAAGCCATGTTCCAAAGCCACATGCTGCATTTGAACAGAGAATGTAAGTAACAGATAAGTGACATATGACGTGACAAACAAAACTTGCCATTGAGCAACAAAAGAGAGGCAGGCCAAGCACTCCACTTCAAATTAAAATCTGAAAAACTAGAGACACAGGAGGCTGTGTATAAAGGCATAGCAGAGAACAGACATCCAAAAGAATACCTGTTCTACTGATACTAATTGATTAAGGAATACTCAATTCTATTCTATCCTGGCAAAACATCTGATGTACAAATTATGCATCTCTAAGAAGCCACTTAATGCAGGGACGAATACTGGTTTATTTAAAGTAATTACAAATGACAACACTATCACAATATTGCTTACAGCAAAGAAACAAAAGTACCTGTCCGAACTCAAATAAGCTCAATGCTTTCTTACTGGCTTCACAATACTCAGCTTCAGTCATTAGTCCAAGTTCAATTATCTGCATCAAACCAAATCAAACTGTCCAATTACAACAACGCATAGAAGAAGACCGCCAAGCAGACCACTGTAGTAGATGCTACTAATCAATCTTATGATGACCCTATTGGTCATCTTCATATTTTCTATCAGCATTCTCCTTATAGAATATCGTACAGGTTCAAAATGAGAATTCTATAGAAAACCTCTTCTGGAGTCACGGGGACGTCGTGATCCTCAGCCTTGGTTGTTGGGGTGATAATGTTGTTCTGTAGCTTTTGGTTTTTCACCAAGCCTGTGCAGACATCATAGCAGTTTAGCATCAGCCAGTAGTCATGGATGGTGAAAATCTTTACGGCAAATAAAGAAACCAACGGATTACTAAATACTCACCCTCTGGAAGAGCATTGCCACAATAATTTCGCACACCTTTATTATATACCGTCCACAGCGATGTATCAGTACTTCCTGTCACATATCCTCTCACTACATACAGCAAAAAGGATCAAGCTCTCCATAAAGAATTGACCTCTAACACAACCAAACCAAAAATCACATATAGATATGTCGTCAGACATGCTCACCAACAAATTCAACAGGGAAGACCGAACATTTTTTAGCAATTGTGACATTCTTATCAGGAACAGATACAACAGCATTTGGAGTGATGTGCAGAGTTCTGTCAAACCACCACAGGCTCGTTTCATTAAGAACCTGAAAAGCAAGACACCGAGTGACTCACCAACTTCCAAACCGAAACTGGAATCACCCAAGAAGAATTGCAACATAATATACCTGCCCTTTGAAAGGAATGGAAGCAAGAACTCTATCAAATGCGCTCTGCCTATCAGTGGTTACCAGAACAAGGTACTCTCCACCATCGTATATATCCCTCACCTGCAAAAGAACCATCGGTAGAAACGTCTTTTCCACACATGCTCTTAATGGGTATCTGAGGAAAGTTCCATCCTTGTTTCAAGGATCAATTTTTACCTTCCCTCTGGTTTTGGACTTGAGGCCTGGAACCGTCAAATGAAGATTCGTCTCAGAGAGGCAATTGGACAACCCACCCTTAATCGCACCAAGAACACCCTCTTTGCGGCCGCTATCGAGTAGAGAATCCAGAGACGATTTCTCAGGGTTGTTGTATTCACTCTTCAGCGACCTCGAGGAGAAAGAGATTCTACGACCGCTTCGAGTGGAATTCGGCTGAAAGGAAGAAATCGAAGCGGAAAAAGTACCGGGAAACAAAACCCTCTGGTTGATGCTCAAAGGGGTTTTGGGCGGGTTTAAGGTTTTCATAGTTTGAGTGAAGGCTGATATCGTCGAAGCACTTCTTTTAGGTTTTTACCTGAGATGTATTAGTTTCTGAGTTGCTTGTGCAGAAAGGTCTAATGCAAAGAGGTGGCCGAAAGCGCGGATTCCGTCCGGCTTACAGGGAAGGTGAAGGTGAAACGGCGGGAATAAAAAAAAAACAGCGAAAACTAGCGGCGGAGGCTGCGAATGACTGAAGGAGGGAGATAGAAAAGACGGGTTGTAGAATTGCAGGGTGGGCCGGTGGGCTTTCTAAAGTTTCATTTGCTTCATGGATTTGGGCTGATCATTATGAATTTAACAAGTCATTTACTCCTGTGAATTTGAAAAACCATGGTTTTGAATTTTGATAAAATTTGACTTTAGAGAATATAAATGGAGAAAGAATTTGAACAATTTTATTATTTGTTTGTTTGATTTTATTATGGATTTTGCTTGATTAAATTTGTGGATATGAAGTACAAATTATTTTAGTATCTTTATCTAATTATATTTCTATTATAATCCCATTTTTTCATTTAAAACAAATCCAATATATGCAAATAAATTTTACTCTTTACCACTTCTCTGTGAACTAATAATTGAACTATAGAAATGTATCACAGTTCGGCACTAATTAACAATTAATCTAATAATGTACACAGTTATGTGTATCAATTGCAATAAGTTGCTCGCTTTCGCACTACAAATCATCATCTTCTTGCTAACTCCCCAATTTTGGAATTCAACAGACAATCAAACAATAATGCACAAGATGAGCATAAGGTGTAAGAAATCTCAATAAAGGAGTAAAAACAAGACTCGGTGAAAGAAGAGATGAACACACATTCAGAATATTATTCTAGAATATATTAAATATTAGTATGATTTTTTTTACAAATATTCGAATAAGTATTCAGAAGCTTCGAACAAGTATTTCATACAAATAAACAACTATTCATAAGTGTCGCACAAGCATTCAAAGGCGCCGAAGAAGTATTCAAAGCCGAAAAAATGTATCCAGAGTGGTCTAAGATTTTCAAATCGATTTATGAAATAAAATTGACCTTATTGCCCTTCTTTAAATAAAATACGGCATAACAAACAAAATAAATAATTATTATACTTAAGGTTTAGAGAGTGGAGAAGCAAGTTGACCTTGTCGAAAACCTTGTATGACGACTTTCTCTCTAATTTGTGCTTGTCGGTGAGGATGAGAAGGTGAGAGAGGAGGTTGGGGAGGAGGAAGTGAATATCGAAGAGAAAGCTCTTGATTGTTCCCAAGTGGAGGAACAAACTTTTGAAGAGATAGGGAAGGTTGACGAGGCATTTGCGGTCCAAGCAAAAGATAAGGTTGTGGTGGATGAGCCTTGCAAAAGCTATGAGTCTTATGAGAGATCCCCCACCAAACCTCGATGAGATATTTGAGAATGACCCTTTTGCAGGTTCTCTTCCCCAAGCCAAAGTCACACCATCATCGATTCCTATTGGTGGATGCAATGGTGTTCAATCCATGATGTCTTACATTATGTGTGGCAAAGAGAAGAAAGGAGGAGGGAAGAAGAAGAGATATTATAGGTGGAGCCTCAAATCTCATCAAGTCCACGAGTCATCATCATCACTTGTCATACCAAATGCTCATAACTTGAATGTAGGAGATGGATAACACGAGAGTGAGTCAATTCATTGTTTTGTAGTATGTGAGAACCTCACCCATTAGAGAGAGTCTATGTAGAATGCCTTTGTCGTTTGTATTAGAGAAGTACACATCCCTCTAAGTAATCGACTCAAGAGAGTCTTGATTGCTTTATTTGTGATTCAAGGTCTAGTCAGGACTCTCCGCATTATGAATGAAGAGTGAATCAAGTTAGTGAATTATCAATCATTGATCTAGTTAGTGGCTAAAGTGAATCAATGCCTAAGTGAGTAGCTAACCTGTAATTAATTAGATTAATTAGTCTTACGTAGCTTGTAGAGTAGTTTAGTTCTTTAAAAATGAATATGTTTTGATAGATAAAAAAAAATCGAAGTAAAGTAATAGTACATCTAGAGACATGTGGATTTGATATTTTATTACTTACTTCTGCTATACTGCACCTGATCTCAAGTTATACTTGGCCATTGATTGAAAGTGTAGTTAGAGCAAGTCATAAGCCTATCACTAGCTCGGGGGAGAAATTGTTAGTATAAGTGACACTGCTCTAGGAGACCTCATTGCAAATTATTGTCTAAAAGGAAAACGTAAGGTGTCATATGATTTTCAGTTTTTCAGGGAATGTATGAAGCTCATAAAAGATGGGAACATCACCAAAAATCACTGGCTTCACCCTGGATCTGGATCATCCTCCCTATCAGGAAGGGATACTGCTGCTAAAGAAGCCACGAAAGATGGATACTTGTCTGAATACGAATTTGCTGCTGAATACGATTTCTAATGCTTCATAAAAAAGTAGCATCACCATTTTTTTAAAATTCACATAGCCTAACTTGTGCCAAGAAGTTGATATTCTTGTGATGTTAAAAATTTTCTAGAGACATTTGCTATATGTTTTGTTTTTATCTTACGTAGTTCGTGAATAAAGTGGTGTCTACTTCTTCTCTATTGCAATGTTATTTCTTCCTCGAGTATGAAATGTTGCACCAACCCTACTGTTACCCTGTGTAGGACAGCTTGTTTCCCGGGCATTGACCAGGTACGGGGGAGATTGATGAATACTGAAGCTAGTTAATGGCCACAGTTCACGGTCGATAGACAAAGACAATACATTTGAAATCACTAGATCTAGAGTAAAAAATGTGGTTCAAATTAAAAGACAAGACAGTTGGGATCACCAAAGTTAAACTAAAAAGGGCATGGGGCAATCGCTACAATTCACAAATCAGTATAGGGAGATAATGGGTAGTAATCCTAAAACTGGGACACATGTGTCAGAAATGCAAAGAAAGGGGAGATTGTTGAGATCTTTCATTTTTTTACCATGAGAGGGGGATGGTAAGTTCGAGCAATCTGCGCTTGAAAATATATTTACTTGCTATTTGTGTAAAATATCAATACAAAAAATCATCGTCCATCAAGATAAAAGGACTTTTGAAGATATGCACGATGCTATAGAAAATGCATATAGCAAGGAGCTAAGCACGAACATGGAGAGCAAAAGACACAACCAACGAGAGCAATACTTTGTGATTAGTGAACTAAGTGAGAAATATTATCAGTAGCTTGATGATTGTGACTTGTGAGGTGTGTGTTATCTTCCTATAGCTGAGAGCTTGTGAGTAAGGAAGACATGTCTTATTTGCTATGTTATGTCAAGGGGTTGAGTTCCGCCAAAGGGACTTAACTTGGAGTTAGAGATTGGAATAAAAAAACCCCTAAGAAAATAGGTCTCAAAGGGTGAGCCGCATTTGAGACGACACGTAAAGCCACATGGCCGAACTCGGTTAACAAACATGTTGTGTTGTGTTTTTACTTTCAACCTTGCTCTGCAAATTGTTTCTATTTTGTTGGGGTTATGTTGTTAGTTGATTAGGTTGGTCGATTGGATTCCAAAGAGAAACAAACAAGTGTTTGACGAGTGGGTGTGATATGTTGATCACTGAACTAAATTTAAAAATATGTTGTGGGTCGTACTTCAAATTTGTGGAATAAGCCTTAAGTTGTACGACGAAAAATATACATCTAGATTCTAGAGTCAATTAACTGACTCTCCTTTCTTCTTAGCCTTTTCATCTCTTCATTTCCTTCCACTAAATCCTTGAGAAAGGTTTTTCCATTGTTATCAAAACCAGGCAGGACCGGCGGGTCAGGCCACGAACCGAATTCGATCAGTAATCCGATTTTGATTACCTCAAAACGAGAACAATCCTGCCCGACTTGGTACTAATCGGTTCGACCGGTTAATTGGGAGACCCGCCTGACCCGTACCAGCGGTTTTGATTGAATTAATATTGACCAAAGAAGGTTCGGCAGGGAGCGAGCGTCAATGGCATGGATTGGGCGATGGAGGAGGCGACGATAGAGGCGAGAGGAGAAAGTGGAAGCGATGCTCCTCGTGCAAGGTCCAATACACCTTACAATTGAAATTTTTTGTATTACTGGTTTTGTCACCGGTTTTATACCGATTAATCAACGGTTATCCAATAAAACCTTAAACCTCTCGTTAATCCGATTTGCATTCCAGTCCGGTTTTGACAACACTGATTTTTTCTAATTGATCAATTTTGATAAAGGAGGACTATAAAACTCCAATTACCGCGGGGGAAATGCACGGGTCAGTGGGTCACTCAGCGGGCTGTCGGCAATTGGGCCAACCAGAGGCTCGCTCAAGCATCATTGACTGACTTCACGCATCCCAAGACCCAAACTCTAGGTCTCCTGCTTAACCAAACTGGACGGACCCGATCACGACACGTTTCATTTATAATTCCGGTCCTCGGACTCGGGTGACAGACTTGAATCCGGAAGAAATATAAACCCGAACCCGACACGTCGGTCAGAAAGATAAAACGTGAAAAACCTCCCACCACTACCACCGCTAGAACTTTCTCCCTCTCCTCCTCCAGTCCTCCCATTTCTCCCCGTCTCTCTCTCTCTCTCTGTTCCAATGTAAAAGAAAGAGATTGTTATACAATCTCTGTCTCCTTTTCCTCCTCTAATTCTCGGCGCGAAACTTTTCTCGCGCTTCTGATCCGGAGATTTGGCGTTCTTGGGTTTTCTTCGAGCTCCTTCAACAGTATTGGGTTGAGATTATCTGTGTTCTTTGTCCCCGCTGGCAGATCGCGGGCCAGGGGGGGATTCAATTGCCGTTCGATTTCTTGTTTCGTGGGCGTTGAGCGGAGCGGTCTGATCTCCCCAATTCCGAGTGAGGTTTGTTCTCTCGGCAACTTAATCTGCTTCTTTTAATTTTTTGGCATGGTTATGGGTGTTCTGAATCCGGGATAGTTCGCGCTTTAGGGTTTTAAGCCGTTCTTTGGTGAATGTGCGATGATTTTGGTGCTATTGATGTGATAGGGAAAGCAAGGAACTTGGGTAATGGGTGGGCTTTAATTTGCTCTAGTTTTCTGCTTGCTATTATATGCAATGAAACCATCATTCAGTGGAAAGCTTCAACGGACGTTTTGCAGGCTTTGTGCTCTAGGAATTGAACCCCAGAAGTCTCTTTAGTTCAAGGTTTTCCTGTTTTCGAGCTTCTCCAGATGTGCTAGTAAATTATTCCTTGGTATTTCCTATCGGCCAATCTGATCTTGATGAGGAAGAAAAGGAAAGGGAGCGAATGTGATGCCTGTGAGGATATACACGATAGAACTACATCGCCCAGTGATCATGGCGCTACTAAGGGATCTAATTTGATATCCTATTACTCATTAGAAGATTACAATAGGATAAACAAGAGGTGTAAAGAAGATGCGGGTGATGAGCCGATCAATTCATTCAAAAATAGGCTTGCAGGTGTTGCTACCGCACCACCTTGTGGTGCTTCATCGTCCTTGGTGTCTCCTGGAAGGGGGCTTAAGAGAAAGATAGGGTGTATAGAAGTTGCAACTCAGACTGGTAGAAAGAATAAGATTGAGGATGACTATATTTTTGGTGCCACACTGGGACGGGGCAAGTTCGGATCCGTTTCCTTGTGTACATCAAGGACATCTGGAGTGGAGTTTGCTTGTAAGACCTTAAAGAAGGGGGAGGAGACTGTTCATAGGGAGGTGGAGATAATGCAACACTTATCTGGACATCCTGGGGTTGTGACCTTGCATGCTGTCTACGAGGAGTCGGAATCTTTTCATCTTGTGATGGAATTCTGTTCTGGAGGGCGATTGATCGATCAAATGGTGAAGGAGGGTCAGTACTCTGAGCAACGGGCTGCTAATATATTCAAGGATGTGATGTTAGTGATCAAGTATTGCCATGAGATGGGGGTTGTCCACAGAGATATAAAGCCTGAGAATATACTTCTTGCTACCTCGGGAAAGATAAAACTGGCAGATTTTGGCCTGGCCATGAGAGTTTCAAATGGTGGGTATCCGCCACAATTTGTTTCTGTGGTTTTCAGATTTAATGGCTCTTTGAGATCACGAAAAACAGTTTTGCATTCATGATTTCATGTGGTTCTGTCAAAGTACCAGATATGCATCTACAATTTCTGTTGCTAGTGACCATTAGACATCAGTAGGAGCTATTTCTTAACAAGATGCTGTTATGTCTACCTCCTTTCACTGATGTGTAGAAGTTGCTTAGCATTGCTAATGCAACCACTATGGGTTTGTTGCATGATTTAGAATATTAATGAGGCAAACTAGGGAGCAGGTCATCCCAAAGCCTCCAGTTCGCATCCCCATCCTTCACCACCCATTGCTATGCTTGGAACAAAAGAAAAGAAAAAAGAAAAAAATAGGCAGTCTGAGGAACCTGCTAGTTTCTTGGAACCTATTTTCTGAGCTGCTTGCCTGTAGAGCTTAAATTTGTTGGTCTGTGCCACTAAGATAAAAGTATGTTTGAATCTTCGACATTGTTGTTCCATTTTAGTGATAAACGGATTCCTGTATAACCACATATGACATATGTATGGTGTACAGTCTATGTATTCACTAGTTACTCATACTAAGTGCCTGCTATGTCAGGAAAAAATCAAAATTAAATTAGAATGGGCTATTAGCTATTGTTTTACAGGACTCCTGTTGCTGTGCACTTCATATTTGTGCAATAAATGGTGCTTTTTATGCAATCCTTGGAAGCTTCAACTAGGTCTCAACTCCTAGTTCTCATTTTTAAGGATGGTATTGGTAACGTTACAATACCATAGTTGCAAGGGATCAGATCTCCTGAAACTTCTGTTATATTGTTTGATCTGCAGGTCAGACATTATCTGGTTTGGCTGGAAGTCCAGCATATGTTGCACCTGAAGTTCTGCAAGGAAATTATTCTGAGAAGGTTGATATATGGAGCGCTGGTGTGTTACTACATGCCCTCTTGGCTGGTGCTCTTCCATTTCAAGGAGACTCCTTAGATTCTGTCTTTGACGCTATAAAAACAGTGAAGCTTGATTTCCAGTCAGGGATATGGGATTCAGTGTCCAAACCTGCACGTGACCTACTTGCAAGAATGTTGACTAGGGATGTTTCAGCGCGGATAACTGCAGATGAAGCACTGAGTAAGCTTTTATTGCCATATACTGTCGAAATATTAAAACATAATTGCAATCCGTCTTAGTTTGCTGACAAATTGAACTGCCTTTATTTCCAGGGCATCCATGGATACTGTTCTACACAGACCGCACACTGAGATCCCTGTCTTTCAAGACAAAACTACGGCATCAGGGTCGACCAACTTCGAGCCAAGCCAGCACTTCACACGTATCAGAGTCGGGTAGAAGTCAGGTTGTAGTAGGTAGCTCGCTCGTCGAGGGTTCCTGGAAGCATGCAGTTTTAGATAGCTTAACCTGTAAGTCAGAAGAGGAGGAAGAATGTGAATTTGTGGATGCCCTTGCCCTGGCCATTTCTCATGTGGAGATCTCTGAGCCAAAAAGAAGCAGGTTGTGCAGCCCATCAAGTCCGATAGAGCAGCAGCAATGTTCATCTAACATCACTGTCAGCACTCTTTGTAGAGCGTTCTGATCTTCTGCTGATGCCGACTGACTGACGTCGCTAACTTGATTATCTCCACTGTTATTTTTTCGAGCTGGGGATTCACAAAAGGTTGACAGACAAGAAGAAATGGCCCCTAGTTGGAGTTAGTTCTCAGTGGGCGACAACAATGGTGGTTTATAAAGTAGGCATAAACAACCATGTGATGGTCGGTATATGGTGGTGGTGTCTTCTCCCTCAATAACACATCTCTCTGTGAAGATCATTCTCTTTATATTGCTATTCGTGTATTTGACAATCTTACCTAATAATAACTAGTGTGGTGACAACTTAGATGAGTTCTGTACAGAATTTTGTATATAGAAGATTGCTAATGAAGCCCTTTTATTCTAGTTTGACTGTCTTTTGCATTATTCAGTACTTTTCAAATCCCAGCGACCTGTAAGTTTGGGTGCTTCTCAGTGCCAAATCTGATCTGAAAATTAGGATCTCGGGTTTCCCAACTTGTATTGTTTAATGGGGGGGATCTTGTTTGCTGTCTTTATTGGGAGTTGACAATCACATTCTGATCCAAATATTGTCTACTCATATAATCTTCAATCTCGAGGTTGACTTCTTACACAGAACTACAAATAGCTCCACTCCCTGTTTCAAAGTCCGAGAAGAAACACCATGGATGAAACAAAAGCAAGCTCCAAAATGTTCACCAAAGCAAAAGCAAGCTCCCATCTTCCCTCCATTAGAATCATCTCAACCGCCCTCGTTCTCTTGCTTCTACTGCTTCTCACCCTTTCACATTTCTATTCATCTGCTTCACCCTCTTACCTGTTCAGAAAATGGCAAGGCGTGCCCTCTTCGAAGAACGACGATTTAACTTCAAAGCTTCGAGACTCCGTCACATTCCTCCCACTCAAAGACCTCCGGTTCTCCAAAACCGCCATGGAAGGCAACACCTGGTTCATGAGCTCGTTGACCGACACCCGCGATGTCAACGAGTCCGAATACCTCTACTTCCCTTCACAAGCATCCAAGGGCAGAATCCTCTGCATCCAGGGAAGCAACGACAAGGACGGCACCAAGAATTCATACGCCCTCGCATGGCCCGAAGCTCTCCCCGAAGCCGCGGAACTGACGAAAGGTTTGACCTTTGTCTCCGACAGTTACTACGACTATGTGAATCTCTGGCATGGGCTCACAGCCATGGCGCCTTTTGTCGGGTGGTCGATGAAAAATGGCTGCTTGAGACCTTCCAGGTGGGTGCTTTTCCACTGGGGAGAGAGGAGGGGGAAAATGGGTTCGTGGCTTCAAAAGCTGATGGAAGCCAACTTTGGAGAGGTGAAGATCGAAGGGTTTGAAGGAGATGATGAAGGAGGAGGGAAAGCTCAGTGCTTTGAGAAGGCAGTGGTGATGAGGCACAATGTGGGCAGTATGGGGAAGGAGAAGGAGCTTCAGGTTTTCGAGCAGCTGAGATGCAGAGCACGCAGATACTGTGGTTTGAATCCGGCTGGGAAAGGAAGAAGGGAAGTCGACGATGCGTCGATCAGGTTGACATTACTGTTGAGGAGAGGCTCGAGATCGTTCAAGAATGCGAGAGCTGTGACTGACGTGTTTGCCAAGGAATGTGCAGAGGTTAGAGGTTGTGTTATGAAGGTTGTTCAGTCCGAGGAATTAACCACCTTCTGTGACCAGGTATTTTTCATTGTTTCTCGTCGTCGAATTCAACATCCAAACGATCCTGAATTGAACAGTTCTTTACTCGATCTGGTTCGTTTTTCTTTTTGCAGGTGAGGACGATGACGGAGACAGACATCGTGGCTTCGCCGCATGGAGCTCAGCTGACGAACATGCTGTTCATGGACAGAGGCAGCAGCGTGATGGAGTTCTTCCCCAAGGGATGGTTCGAGCTTGCCGGCATAGGTCAGTATGTTTTCCATTGGATGGCTGATCAATCAGGATTGATCCACCAGGGGGCATGGTGGGAGCCCATGGCTAAGAAAGAATGCCCTTCTCCTGATAACGAGCTTGAATGCTTCTTCTTCTACAAAGATGGACAAGTGGGCCACAACGAAACATATTTCGGCGAATGGGCGAGAAGGGTTCTCAACCAAGTGAGAGATTCAAAGGTAGAAGGCCATGGCAAGAGGATGAAGATAAAGGCTGACTCAAATGCCTGCACCTGCTAAATTTCTCGCTTGTTTTATTTACAGAATATGTTGTATGTTTTCAGAACGAAAATATATATAAAAAAAAAAAGTAGTACAATTCTGGCGCTTAGCTTACTACGAAGACAGCTTCGATAACAAGGAGGGTTGGGTTGTGTGGAGAAGAGAAGCCTATCTTCTGGAAACTTTGGTCCAAAGGTAGACGATGAAGAAGCAGAGGAGTGCAAAAAGGACGACGTGGACTATATGGTTTGAACCGTTCTTGATGATGCTCTTGTTCAACTTCCTTATGTTGTTCTTCACGCTTGCTTGAGCTTTGATCACAGTCATTTGCTGTTCAATCAATTAACCAGGCAATGCCATTAGACGGGGTTGCTTGCTGCATCTATTACAAGCAAGAATATATACTTTGTGTGAAAACCAAGTTCTTTCCAGATCAAATTGCAGAGATAAAACAGCAGCCAACTTGTCACAAATATTTGTGCTGCTAATCCTTACACCTCAAACAAAAGGACCTGCTTCTATTGATCCTCAACCTTCTTAATGCATCTATGAAACATTCCCAACTCAGAACTAAATAAACTAGTTGCTAAGAACCCGAAACAACAAGGGTTTTGTACATCATACAAGAAACAGTGTAGAAGCAATCAGCTGAATTCCCATGAGTGTAAAGACCGAGGACTAGTGTATGGCTAACATTCCTTTGCCCTTACAAATGAAAAGTTACATTGCTCATAGGTTTAATTTAAACTTCCAGCATGGAAGCTTAACACTTCATATTTACACCAGAAGATAAAGAACCAATGCGAAAAATGAAGTAATAAACAGAGCTTGTAAAATACCAAAAAGCATAAGCAAGGATCATGAGACAAGAGCAAAAGGGAAGAAAAACAAAGAAGGCCAATTAGAGAATCTTTGTTTAAGCAAACTTAATAACATACCAACTGATCTAGAAAATCCTTCTGAAATTTCGCTTCTGTCCCTATATCCTGGGCCACCTGCACCACATGCACAACTGAAAATTGAGAAAACTGCCCAGACAAACACCACTAAAAACGGTTCAGCAGCCACAATGACAATTTTATACGATCAAAAAGAATCAGCCAGGATCATCTTCTTATCGAACAAGCTTGATGAACTAAAATTTGAACTTCTTAAGCATGAAATGAGATCCATCTTGAAAAACTCGGGATATCAAGCTTGAGATTTAATACGATACTAACACACCACGCTTTATGCTTAATCAACCATCAATATCGGGAATCAAAGACAAGAACTTTCAGCTAGCACAGACTCTATACTGCTCCGGCAAACAGAATGTATTCAATTTTTATACTATCGAAAAGAATCACCGGACATCATCTTCTCATCGAACAAGCTTGATGAACTAAAATTTGAACTTCTTAAGCATGAAATTAGATCCATCTTGAAAAACTCGGTAATTGGGATATCAAGCTTGAGATTCAATACCATACTAACTCACCATGATTTATGCTTAATCAACCATCGATATCGGGAATCAAAGACAAGATCTTTCAGCAAGCAAAGACACTTATACCGCTCCGGCAAACAGAATGCATCCAAACAAGTGTCCCATGAAAATCTATGTGCCGCAGACACTTCAAGACAGTAAATTTGAGCTAGACAGCTATTGTCAATCTGCTTTCCATAAATCACATTGCCAACAATATCGGCCAATGCTTCACACAATCGAATACTAACAATAATCTATCGGGTAACAGATGAATCTCGATCAATTCCCTCTTTCCCCCTAGATACAATTGATGTGCAGGAAAAGCTCTTACATTTCTGAGCATCCTGACTTGAGACCGGAGGCCGGTTATCTCATCATCAAAATCGGCGCTCATCGGATCAATTCGAAGCTGTATCTCGTCCGAGCTCGCCGCCTGCCTCGTACTAAGCCCATCCCTGAGTACCATGTCAAATCTAACATATATAACCATCGATCCTGACAATTGATCGATTAACCAGAAAAAAAAAACATATAGAAAACAAGGGTTACTGAAAAAGGTGGAACGAACCTCGAACGGAACGGAGCAGCGTTGCCGTTGAAGGGGCCTCCTCGGCTGGAACTGGCCGCCATGAGAAAGAGCAAGAGAAAGAGAAATTTCAAAGGAAAGTTAGGGCAAAAATGATGGCGGTGACCGATTCTGGCAAAACAAAGACGTTGTTTCGATCCTTATTTGTCTGAAAGGGAAGTTAGGAGGAGAAAGGTGACGCCTTCCGCCTGCGGTTACTAGAGGAGATCCCCCAGCTTTTTAATTCCCCAGATTGGAATTTGCCGGAGAAGTAATTCTTGTTCCGCTGCCGGAATAGGTTAGCGTGGTTACTTAATTTTTAGTAATGACGGTGGCTATCAAAATCTATACCATTCATTATCTCTGTTTCTCCTTGTTTTTAAATTGACGGTTAAGATTAGATTAAGGTTAATTTCGGAAATAAAAAAATACCACATCTGATTACTCTATATATTACACTCAAACCCTAATGCAACCCATCTCCCTAACCGTGGTCCTTCTCCCCTCCCCCGCTCCCTCCCTCCGCCTCACCTCACCAGCCTCATCCGCCGTCTACAACAATCCAACGCCATTACTGCCTACTGCTACTAGAGGTACCAGCTCTATTAGCATCGTCGTCAAAACTCGCCGCCGCCGTTGCCGATCAACGCAGCCTAATTGCCAATGGCCTCGGCATGACTCCTCATATGAGGTATGTACTTGCCGATCACTCACTCTAATAATTTTTACTACTTTTACATCTCCAAATCTTATTTCTCAATTGGCACGACCATTTCTAGTTCCAGATCTCCTTTCATTTCAATCAAAAAATACTATCAATTATTGCTTCCCTCTTGTCTTGACTCTTCTAGTGGTATATATAAATTGTTTATATTGGTATTGTTTTTTCCACAGTGGTAGTATTTTTTCCGCATTGGTATTGTTTTTTTCTACATTGGTATTCATTATCATGTAATGGTATTGATTTGCATGTATTGATTTATATTGGTAGTTTTCGCATTGGTATTGCTTTTTTCTGCATTGGTATTGATTATCATGTAATGGTATATATTTAAATTGGTAGATTGTTTATATTGGTAGTTTTCGTGTAATGGTATAGATTTATTTCTGCAATGGTATTGATATTTTTCAAAGTGGTAGTGATTGTCTAATGGATTGGTAGTGATTTCGTGTTTTTTTTCTTTTGCAGAAAGATTGAGAAAAATAAGGAAACGGGATCTGGCTGAAGATTATGGAAGTGAGAGAAAGAGAGAGAATTGTAATTAATAGATTCTTGTAACTACCTAAAATGTAATTTATTAAAAAAATTAATTAATACAATTTATTTTTCATACCCAATTTACCCTTAGTAACCACGGTGATTACTACTTATGTAGTAATCACCGTAACCTGTCCCTTCCGCTGCCTGTTGGCAATGGGGAAGATGACGGATAGGACACGGGATGGCAACGTGGCTGCTTTTAATTGGATTAGTTGACGTCGTTCGATTTTTTTTTTATCAACTGCAAAAATATTTGCATGAGTTAAACTGAATTTGGAAGGGTTTGGGCTCCGAGATTTGGTGTTTATCATATTTTAGAAGAGATGTTTACTTATAAATCGGCTAAATTACATGTTTGGTAGCTCAAATTATACAAATCTTTTACGTTTACCATTCAAATTATTTTTCTTTCTTATTTATCACTAATTTTACGAATCGTTTCATCATTATTCACCGATCGTTACATTCCGTTAAATTTGTCCTACGTGGCAGTCAACTATAAAGTTTAACCGTTAACTAGATGATGTGAAAATTAAAAAAAATAAAAATGAATTTATTTTACCACCTCATCATTCCATTTACTTTGTTAGCTTGGTTATATGATTTATCATATTAATTAATTAATAAAAATTAATAAACTACAAAAAATTAATTGTCAGCGAGAGGAACAAAGTGCACATCACCGCCTGCCCTAGGAGTTCCCCCCGAAGTACAAAACTTGTACCAAATCCATTCTTGGCGAGTCCCTTCTATGGTAACGATGGAATTACCGGCGTCAATACTACTACCCCCGCCGTGCATTCTCCGTCTCACACACCGCCGGCGGGAAAGGTGGTGGCGGTCCCAGTCCACTTCGTCGACTCCTCTTCTCCGGCTCCATCGAGGCCTTCAGATCTGCTACTCCGTAGATCGGGCTCGGCCGCGAAGAAGATCCAGAAGGTGTTCTGGGGATTCACGGTGAGAAAGAGCTTGAAAAAGATTGCATAGATAAGAAACGAGATTAAACACCGTGGAAATCAGGATCTCAAATACCACGGATCTGCTTTGCAGAGATACCAATGACCGGCTCAAGAAGGTCATCGCGTTGCAAGAGTTTGTCGATTTCAATCGCCGATTCGAGAGTTGAAAATCACGAATCCCTAGAATCACCAGCTACAATTGAAGCTGTAGACAGCGCCCACGGTGATTCGGAGTCCGACTCTCCCGATCAACCGGAAATTCCCGGGGAGTATAACGACAAGCAGGCCGAGAGCCAATCAGAGTCGATGAAGGATCTGCAAAGTTGGACGTTGGTGGATGGAAAAGAAGAAGAAGAGGTAGATGGTCGAGGGAGGCTAGTACTTGACGGTGACGGTAGGGAGGCCGGAGAGCTTGGCGAGATTGGAGACGAGGGAGGAGAAGGTCATCAATCGGGGAACAGCGTCGGCGATCATCCTGGTCTCTCCGCTGATGTAACATAGAGTTGTAGTGCTGACTGACAATTAATTTGAGTAATTTTTTATTTTTTATTTAATAATGAATAGGATAAAGCACATAGAAAAAAAAAGTAGAATAATGAGTTGGAAAAATAAATTTATTTTTCATTTCCATGTTATCTAGTTAACGGTCAAACTTTATAGTTGACTGCCACGTAGGACAAATTTAACGGAGTGTAACGGTCAGTGACTAACGGTGAAACGATTTGTAAAGTTAGTGGCGAATAAGAAAGAAAAGTAATTTGAGTGGCAAAGGTGAAACATTAGTATAATTTGAGTGACCAAACATGTAATTTAGCCCTTATAAATCAGATCATTTTAGAGATCGCCAAGAAGTTCAAGAAGAGATTCTTCCGGCGAATATTGGTCTATTGATAGGGGTGAGCATTGGGTAGTTGAAACCACAAATTCACCCGTAATTGACCCACCCATTATCATGTGGGTGTGAGTTGTAAAATAGGCGACTCACAAAAGATTGGGTGGGTGCTAGTGGACTGTAGGTGACTCACGACTCACCCAACTTGTTGTCCTCAAACCATCAAAGTTCTAACATATAACGTTATCGAAAATGAAACCCTTAAAATCACAAAAAGTCCTCTCAATTTTGATAAAAGGAGTGTTGGGAGGTGTGCTTAAGCAATTGAATGTACACTCGATTTTGATAACTAGTAGACAAATGAAAGAAAATAAATATAGTTGTCTTCCCCAAAATGACACTATTTCAAACTACCATGGATTTTTCCTTCATTTCTTCCATCAATTTGGAATTGTAATTTGTGATAATAAGTTAAAAAGCTATTTACGCTCACAACGCCTAGGTGAATGAGGCACTAAGCAAGACCAAACATTTTCCTTAGCTTAGTGCCTTCTTGAATCTTGGTTATTATCAGGTTTAGACCATGTTTATCAGCTGAATATTATTGTTTTGTAATTTATGGACAATTACAAATACCAATATTGTAACATAAATGATTCACCTCATTTATGGATTAAGAGTTATTTATTTTGAAATTATTTTTCATTTTAAGTTTGAACTATTGAAATTATATGATCGTATAAAATATATGTAAACCCACTAAAATCCACCCAACCACCCATCATCTGCGATCACCCAATCCACCCACATGTAATGCTTGGGTGAGTGTTGGTCATTTTCTCTTTCACCCACCACGTAGTGGGTGGTTCCAAACCCACCCAAATCCACATAAAACCACCCGCTGCTCATCCCTACCTATTAGGCATATATCATATAATTGAGTAAAAGCAATGATACCATTAACTCTCAACCTTCTTGCTCGATTTGGTCAACGGGTAACTGGATTGACAAGCTTGGTGATACCCGACCCATTGTGATCGCTAAGTTTTTTTTTGACAAAGATGATGCTTGTATTTCACTTAGAAAGAACACGGTTACAAAGAAGAGGAAAACCCCTGAAATTCAGCTACAAGAAATAAAACCCCAAACAAGAAAGAAAACCCAAACCAACCAGTAAAGAACATCAAACATCCAGAGAACACCTACAAGGAAAGCAAAAGCCAAAAAAAAGACAGAAGGCAACACAACAAGAACAGAAACAACAAGGGGATCCTTCCATGAGCCAAATCACAGGAATCAGCAAACTTTGTAATCACATCAACCAGAGTGGAACACAGTAGCTTCAGCTCACCCAAGGGTTGAAAGAGCCCTGAAAACAAGGCCAACGGGACCGGAGCGGAGAGAGCCATGAAAAAGTAGTGTGAGATTCACCCAAGGGTTGAAAGACAACCACACAAAAGCAGAACCGAGAAGAGAAACCACCTGCAAAACCAAACGCCAATAGAGAACCACCAAAACAAACCCAATCCCAGAATCCAAAGAAGCAGCCCCAGCAACACTTACACTCCCAACAACACACAAAAACTGTAACAAACGAAACCCTGTATGAATCTCAAAACTATTGCAACCAAAGTTCACCCACCTCAGCAATCGAAGGAGACATCGCTTCCACTACAGTCAGTCGAAGCCTCGAGGAGCGACGACGGATGGGGAATCGGTGAATGCAATCACCCTTAAGGATGAGAAGATGACCACACCAAGCTTGGATAGAAACCCAATCTGCATCCTCTGAACCCAGAACAGAGCAGAGCCAAACCAGATCTAGAAGATCAATTGAAGAAGCCAGGCAAATCCTCCTCCTAACGAGAGGAATGTGGAAAGAACCACTAAGGGAACAAGAAAAGCCACAATGGCTGCAAAATGCCACAACGACTGCAAAATGACATAGATGGCAAGGAAAGACAAGAAAAAACAGAGGAAGGGGACGAGGAGCACGGAAGGAAATCGGAAACGAAAAGGAGGATTGGGCTACCGCCGGTCACCAAGATGTGCTGGCGGCAGCCCTGGGAGACTGGAAAAATAGAGAGAGCAGGAAAATTTGAAACTAGAGAGAGAAAGGGACTTCTTTTCTTCTGAAGAGGGAGGATGACAGTGGAAACTGGCTGCTAATTGTGATCGCTAAGTGGGTGGGATCAAATGGTTGTGTGGGATGGGGCCATGCATATGTTTGGGCTTCTTGCAAATCATCTTGTGAACTAACCGCTCGAGAAAGCCCCAAGTGTTAAAACTTAAAAGCATGAGCAATGAGACCGTCAAAAGTATGTTGTAGAGTATTTTATGGTAAAATCATGGTTTAATTGTTCTTCAACAGTTAATATCGTTAAATACCGCTTATCGATTTGGCTTCCAATATTGGTATTTCGTAGTTGACTGTCGCGTACGATTCCATGGACCATGCTTAAATTATTAATTTTAAACCCAATGCTACACATGACGTGGACAAATTAGGGAGTAAAATTGGCCGTGGCAAATGGCGGATGGATGATGGCACTCCGCGGCAAAACCAGAGCCGCAATGAGATGCTTCTTCCTCACTCAGCAACAACTCCGACTCCCGCTTCCGCTCACCCCATCTTCCGCCGCTGACATTTCCTCCATCTCCGCACCTTCTTCTCACCGCTTCTTCTCCTTCACCTGCTCCTCGCTCTTCCGTCACTCGCCGCTTTTCGCTCCGTCAAACCAGGCTTTCTCTCGTCCGATTTCATTTCGGGAACTTCATTCGTCTCCACCTTCGATTCGTTCGTTCGCAGCTCGAGGCCTCCAAACCATGCCTAATTCGGATTCCGTCACTTACCTCACCCAGCGTGAAGCTGCCGAGGTCGATGAGATTCTCATGGGGCCTCTCGGGTTCAGCGTCGATCAATTGATGGTCAGTCCTTTCGGGAGGTAAAATTCTTCAATATGTGAACCGTGGCCTAGTAGATGCCTCCTGACTTTTCTTTGGTTCGTTTTTGTTTAGGAATTGGCGGGATTAAGCGTTGCCACTGCTATAGCTGAGGTATGTTATGGTTTTCCTAGGGTTGGATGCAGGAACTGCAGGGTCTCCGTTTATGGGGTTCTTTATTTGTTTTTGTTTCTGAGGTGGCATTGATTTTGGACAGGTGTATAAGCCAAGTGAGTATAATCGTGTTCTTGCCATCTGCGGTCCAGGGAACAACGGTGGAGATGGCTTGGTTGCTGCTCGTCATCTGTTTCACTTTGGGTACAAGCCATTTATTTGTTACCCGAAGAGAACTCCTAAACCTCTTTACTCTGGTCTAGTTACTCAGGTATGTGAGTGTTTTGAATTCTTGGGACGATGTGCTTCAATTGTGGAACTGGCTGTATGTTGGAGTTAACTTTTGGTTGGTTTCCTTTGTAGCTGGAATCACTTTCTGTTCCTTTCTTGTCCGTTGAAGATTTGCCTGCTGACTTGTCTAAAGAGTTCGACATTGTAGTAGACGCAATGTTTGGGTTCTCATTCCATGGTAATTACTCTATTTATTGCTCTCTTTTGATATCCATTGTAGTGATATTGAGAAAGTTTAGTTTTTCTGTAATAAAAACTGTTGGTATCTCTTTTACTAGAATATTTTTTCCAAGGCTATCTTTGCAAATCATTGTCAGTCTCAGTAGTGTTTTTGGGTACTCGAGTATTTTAAGCTGTTTGCTTTCCAGCATAATGTTGTAGTCCTTGTCAACAAGTTATTTTTTTCGATTGGTTAAGGCACTTACAATTTTTTTTTCTAACTACTTTTGTGATGTAAGGTACCCCAAGACCACCATTTGATCATCTCATCCAAAAGCTGGTCGACTTGGATGATCCTACTGGTGTCCGCCAGAGGACTCCTGCCGTCGTTTCTGTAGATATTCCTTCTGGGTGGCATGTTGAGGAAGGAGATGTTAATGGTGGAGGCATGAAGCCTGACATGTTGGTAGGTTAATCTTAGAGCTTACGTTTAAAATTTCCTGTCATCTTCACAGTACATGCCTTTTATGCAAATTCACTGTCCCATAGGTTTCTTTGACTGCTCCAAAGCTGGGGGCTAAGAATTTTTCGGGTGCACACCACTTTCTAGGTGGTAGATTTGTCCCACCAGCTATTGTAGATAAATATAAGCTTCATCTTCCACCATATCCTGGCACTTCCATGTGTGTTCGAATTGGAAAACCTGCCCACATTGATATATCAGCTCTAAGGGAGAATTATATCTCTCCAGAGTTCCTTGAGGAGCAGGTGGCGGCAGATCCTTTTGTTCAGGTTTGTGCCTGTCTTTGGAATGTTTCATGACCCCCTCAGTTTTTGGTTACCTATGTCTTAGTCAAGTAATTTTCTCTGTTGCAGTTCCGTAGATGGTTTGATGAGGCTGTAGAGGCTGGATTGAAGGAACCAAATGCTATGGGGTTGTCAACTGTTGGGAAGGATGGGAAGCCGTAAGACCTTCTCTTCTTATGAATTCTTTTCACCTTCATGTTACCGACATAATACATGACCTTGTGTTACTTTTTTGCTAACAGCTCCTCAAGAATGGTTTTGCTAAAAGGGTTTGATCAGGATGGGTTTGTCTGGTCAGTATGGTGGTATTGTCATTGGGTTAATGAAATGTATCCTCCATATGACTTAATTGTCATTGTATTCATACTCCACTTTCTGACTCGCAGGTACACCAATTACGAAAGCCAAAAAGCACATCAGTTGTCTGAAAATCCTCGAGCATCACTCCTTTTTTATTGGGACGGGCTTAATCGGCAGGTATTGCATCATGTGAAGCTTCTGTAACATACCATGTTGTCTGTGCACGGTGCTTGTTATTGGGATTCATACATACTCAGCTTGAGAAATAGTGTAAGGATATATATCTTTTTGGCTTCACAAAATAAGGGATTTAAGCGCTTCTAGATTTGACTGTCCAATGAACTGATTCACCTACTTGACTGCCAGCCCACAGTATAATATAAACCTTTTAGCTGCTTAATTTCCTGCTCATGGAAATGGCCCACTTGAGTATTTCCCCATGCTTTCTCCTGAGGTGGTGAAGCTGATTCATGCGGAGTTGAGACTTACTTCCCAAACTACGTTCATATTGTTTTGTGTTCTCAAGTGATTTTACCCTTAGAATCAACATGTTTCTATTTTGTCATGTATCTCAATGCCGGATTGGGCTAAAGTATGAAGGAACTCTTTTTAAGATGGCTCAAATTGGGAGCATACTTTTGATCAGAAACATGGAGTGTATGGAATGTTTCAACTTTGTAGAATTAGTATTATCCTTATGGCATTGAAACGTCAAAGAAACAGTATCCTTACTAATCGGTAACTTTTAGGTAAGGGTAGAAGGATCTGTGCAGAAAGTGTCTGAAGAAGAATCTGAACAATACTTCCACAGCCGCCCTAGAGGAAGTCAGATAGGAGCAATAGTTAGCAAGCAGGTTCGTTCCTTTTACGTTCATTTATAACACCGTATGCAGTATACTAACATCCCTCGTTCATATGACATTTTTGTTTGCATCATTGTTTATGTTTTTCCAGAGCAGTGTGATTCCCGGAAGACAGGTTTTGTATGAGGAGCACAAAGAACTACAGGAGAAGTTCTCTGATGGGTATGCTTTAGCTGCACCCTCATCTTGGTTATCACGGTGACGCGTGTTATTTCGCAAGTTCCATTTCTGTGTAACTCTCAGTCGGATATGCAAAGCATAAATTTGGATAGTTGCTTTCTGTAGTGACCTTTGATGGAAAAGGCTCTTGTATGCAGGAGTGTGATTCCGAAACCCATAAACTGGGGAGGATACAGACTTAGACCTGAACTGTTTGAGTTTTGGCAGGGGCAGCAATCCCGATTACATGACAGGTATGCTTCACAATTCATTAGAAACAGCCACAGTAATGAGATGGATGAGAGATAATACTTTAGATAAATGTATTTATAGATAATTGGTATATCGGTTCGAAATTGGCACGCTAGAATAGATATAACACGCAAAAGGGGTATCATGGTGAACGTTTCTGGGTATGCCTAAATTGCATCTATGGAATGCATTTACCTTGGCAGATTACAGTATACTCCTGAAGAGGTAAAAGGAACACGAGTTTGGAAAATTGTGCGGTTGGCCCCATGACTGGTACTCTCAGCTTCCTCCTTGTGAAATTCTGGTATGGCATGCTTCCGTTTTGCTGTTTTCTTCCCGCACTTGCTGTGTGCTGCTTAATTTGTTCTCCGCCGGTAGATATATGTGCGATGCTATCTTGTCATTTATGAATCAGTTAAACCTGTGCAGGCAGCAGATAGAAGGGAGAAAGGAAGCATGACGACCCAAAACAGGATTGTGAAGCTCCAATTTCCAGGAAGGAGTTCTTTATCAATTCTTTCCTGGCGAGGAAGCAGCAAGACATGCTCATCTCACGTAGTGAAGAGGATAATTTACAGTCTTGGTTGCTGTGTAACAATAATAATAAATTGAGAGTGATAAAATGTGAATAATTTTCTGTTTATTTGTATTTTGCCACTTATTGAATATTTATCCGGTGCCTGCCTACTCAAAGGTGGTGATGGCGGATTTGTCAGTTTATTGGACTATGGCAGAACGTTGAAGAAGAGCGGTAGTTTTTTTTTACAGTGAAATAACTTCACCCCATCGTTGAAAGAGCTACACCTACATTTAGAAGTACGGCCGGTAAATGGTTATCCAGTTAATGGTCTAATCGATAACGGAACCGGAACTGCTGCTTAACGACTATACCGATAATAGAATAAATAGTATACGGTTGGTTTCAGGTAGTCAAATTTAGCTAATAATTAATTGCTGGTTAAATTGTTAATAATCGACGGTTAAACTATTAAGCGACTAATAGGTTACGACTGTCACCATACCTCCACGAGCCGCAAAGGTAGTTCGAAAATAGTGCGATGTTTGAAGGCTTACAAGACCCCTTGTCTATCCTAGTTGTAATAGTGACTTATACTCAAATGAGAATAATTTAAAGGAAGAGTTTTAGAAGTAGCACACTAGAAAGTCAGATTTGTGTACAGTTGCTCGACAACAATCAATAACATTAAGCTTCCATGTAAATTGGTGAGGTTTACGAGTTGAGTAATTGTTGTTGGGTCTCTTATCGTTGTATGCTTCTTCAATAAAGTTTGACAGTAGAATGATATTATTGTATACTTGTATTGGATTGAGTTGATTATGTATTGATATATATCTATGCTAAATTATTTTTTATTCAGTGATAAAAAATTAAGAAAAGAATACGTGCATGCATGAAAAATTATATAAAATTTCACAATTGAAAAAAGGAAGCCTTTTGTTGATTAGGTTATCGATCAGTTATTTTGGTATAATCTTGCCGAATAACTTGGATAACGGTGATTTGGTCAACCGAAAAAATAACCGAGAACCGACTGTACGGTTATGGTTAACCGACTAATTTAAACGATGTGGTTAAAGGTAAGGACAAAATGCTTAACGCTTAACCAAAAACCGACTAAATAGTTCGATTAACCGAATCGATTATCAGCCCTATTTAGAAGAAATTATAAATGATCTCTAGAATATTGATCCATTTGTCAAGAAGTGAAGATCTAGCTAAAGACGAGCAATCCAATCCGCTCTGCTTTTGCATTAGTACTTCGAGGTACATTTTTCACCTTAATTTGCTGATTAATTCGAAGAATAGTGTCATTGTTCCAATCCAAGATGCACACCTCCATGGCCATCAAGATGGATTACTCAGTGAAGCTCTTGCAAAAAGTTGACCGTTTGTTTGAGCAATGCATTTAGATCCATAATTTTAATCTAAATTTGATACTTTTCAAAAGAGCCTTCGTTTCAACTTCCAGTAGAGAAGAAAAAAGGATAACATTAAATCGTCTACAGACTTGTCTATGGTTGTTAATGGCCACAATACCATACACCGACTGAGAGTTGCTTAAAACCAACCCATCACAGTGAATCTCCATAAAGAGATTACTTGGAGGTGGAAAAGTCTGATGAGAGATTCCCCTAAACGGATTGCTTTGAGTCGCGAGATGAGGGAGATCTCTCAAGCATGCCGTCTAATCAATCAGGTTCTTGGAGGTAGCCCTACAAGTGGTTGGAGGTAGGGAGTTCGAGACCTGATCATATTATTCATTTTTTGGTTTGTAGAGATTCCAGCATAGGAAAACGACATGGATGAGGCTGTGGGGGTTGAGGAAATCCTTCAAAGAGTAAAACCATTCAAAGAAGGAGGGGGCTTGGGAAGGAAGAGGTAGAGAGGGGAATAGAGCATTCCAGACACCGAGCGAATGAGGGCTGTCAAATAAACAATGAAAAAGAGATTCTTTTGGGTTTGACAGATGGAACATGTCTTGCTCGAGAGCATTTATGATCATGTATTCTTGAATTAGTGGCCAACCCATTCCTTGAGCATCTCCATATGAAGAATGTATGTTTGGCCTACACCCCTTTTTAGTTGAGAGGGGGCTCTCTCTCAGAAAATATAGACTTTTGAGAAGGAAACACCATAACGCCTTGGGAGAATTCACGAATCTCCATATCTAATTTGCCAAAAATGCCATATTGAAGTCCTAAAGCATCAAAATCTTTATCTTCCTCCGCTTTTGAAGAACACATGACTTCCCTCCTACGTTAGTGTAATCTACTTTTGTGCATTGAACCCAACCAAAAGAAATTGCCAAAAAGAGAGTTAATCATCTTCGTAATAGAGACAAGAAGCAAGAAGAGGCATGATACGAGATGAATTACACATATTTACTCCTTGTATCTTAGACATTTCTTGTTCATTTGGTATGAAAACACCCTCTCCTATGCCAATTTTACCCTAGGTTGTGTTCTTTTGACATATTTCAGGTCCTAGCACTTGAAGGAAGCTTAGGAGCAAGTTCCACGACATTTGGAGGTCAAAATGGGGCAAAAAAGTTAGCCAGACAAAAAGTCACGACCGGGGAGTGACTTCTTCTCCCATACCGTGAGAATGAGGCAGGGAGGTAGACACACTTTTTTTAAGTCACAACCAAGAGTCATGGCTGTGATTTCGCCTCTGTTGCGGGTGTAAATGGATTTTTTTTGTTAATTATGAAGGGGAAAACTAGGTTTTTGGATCCCAAACACCCAAGGAACGAATCCTAGAGGTAGAGAGCAATCCAGGGGGTGATCTTGGAGCAAAATTGGAGTATTTCTTCACCATTAGAGCACGAGGAACTAGTTTGGAAGTGAAAATTGAAGATCAAAACTAGATTATGTATTAAGTTTCCTCTCTATGGAGAAACTTCCCTTCACTTGGGTTTGAAGAATCCTATGTATTTTTGTTTGGTTAGAGGATTGCATGATTACTCTGAGTTGTTAAACTTGAGTTCATATCCAATATATGCATGGTTTACATATAAATTATTCTTTAATTGAGATTATTGATTTCTGCTTTGATCTATGAGAGAGAATATATGATTAGGTTGATAGAGCAACATCGATTGGAAGTAGGAGATCAATTGTGCTAGAGTGAGTCTACCAATCGGTTTTTATTGGGTGAGAATCTTACCCAATAAAGGGAGTCTAGTGTGAATTGCATTGGTATTTTGTCTTTGTTGAGGATAGTGTCCCTCTAAATAGTCTATTTAAGAGGACATTGTATGTTTTAAACGAGGTTCAAGGCTTGTTAAGGACTTTCACATTATGAATGAAGAGTGAAATAAGTTAGAGAATCATCAATCAGTAATCTATCTAGTGGTTAGGGGAAATCATTACCTGAGTGAGCCTCCTAACTTGTAATTAGTTAGTTTAACCCTTTAGTAGTTTGTTAGAGTAGTTTTAATTGTTTAACTCAAATATGAATTTGCTAGATGATAACCTGAAGCTGAGTAATAGTAAATTTAGAGACCCATGAATGCGATAATTTTATTACTTATTACAAGACTCTCTCATGAATTAGTTCAAAAGTATATATTAGTGGGCTATTTTTCTTCGCACAAAGGAATCTATAAGGGAAATTTTTTGCCCCAATATTTATTTGTTAGCAATCGAGGTTTTCACCTATATATTGGATGAGTAAGCTACCTCAAGTCTCCTTACATAATCCATACCATCCCATATGAAAGCGAGTTGGTTTGACTCACTTATGCTTCACTAACAACTTGTTAATCTTTTTAAGCTTATGTCTTGTCTTTCTAATCCAGGCAAGATGATTTTTTTTTTGTGGCAGTTTAACTCAGCAACAAATACATAACATGGATGCTAAGTTTGGGTAAAAGCTAGGTAAGTTTCATGTTAGAATCTAGGTATCCAGTTGGTGGATGATAAGCATTTTGTCCCTGCTTGTAGGTCTTTGATAGATAAAACTCTTTCTCGCGTACTTGAGCACACATATCATAAAATCTTTATTCGTTATATACTTATTGTCCACTAAACATCATCTCATATTTCCATGGTAAGAACTTCACATCCTACTCTTACCACAATATCTACCACCGCCCGACCCCTTTCTTATTTTTTGCATGAACTGTTGGAGGAATAGGAACTTGCTACTTTCCTTTACTCTTGTCCTTCTATTGATTCATATGTTGAGGCTTCTTGTTTATTTGTACATCTTCTTGTATCTTGGTTTTTCTTTTAACTTATGTCGAATGATTATGATTTATGACAGAGAGTCACCATGTGGGAATTCAGGAGCTCACTAGCTCGTTGCAATCACATTTTAAATTTAAAGAGTTGGACACTCTCTAATTTTTCTAGGCATTGAAATTGTGTGATCACACTTGGGAAATTTATTTCCAACGAAATACATCACTTATCTTTTATCGGCTGCTCATTACTCTAAGTACAAGGCATGTTCTACTTCTATGGATTTGAACATGAAGTGCAACGTAGAAGATAGGAAATTATTATCTGATTCGATGTTTTACACGAAACTTGTGGGTAGAGCTTCCAAGAGGCTGAACATCGCTTATGAAGTTCAGATAGTGAGTCAATTTATGAGCTGACCATGTCAACTTCACTTAGATTATGTCTTTAAGATTTGACGCTATTTACAGGGCTCAAAGGAGGTGTTCACCTTTCTTCCCTCCCCCGATAGACTCACATTGGAAGCATCTCATATGAAAAATATGCAAGCTATCTTGATACGAGAAAATCCATGTTTAGGTGGTGTGTATGATTGTGTGCTTTATTTATCTTCCAGCTTAGCAAGAAGCATGATCGAGTCTCCAAATCTTCTACAAAAGTGGAGTATTGGTCTATATTTGAGGTAAGCTTTGCGATCGTATGGCTTTATCGACTATTGGGAGACTTCAGAGTTATATCGTCTCAACCTATCAAGCTCTTTGTTGATAACTCAAGCACTATCAAGATAACGACGCAACCAGTCTTGTATGAGCGAAGTGGAACCAAACACATCGAGGTATATGTTCATCACATTCATCCATTGGTTGGTGATGGCTTAATCAAGCTATCATTTAGATCTACTAAAGATCAGACTGCAGATTTGCTTACAAAGGTGGTTTCTGCTACTCATCATTGGCTCTTATATGACAAATTGCTATAATATATTATGACCAAATTGAGGGAGGATGTTGAATCCCATCATGTGTGGCTTACATATATGGATTGTAGTTGGTTGTGTATGGTAGTTCCCATCATGTGTGGCTTACATATATGGATTGTAGTTGGTTGTGTATGGTAGTTAGCTGCGGTTTCCGAAACTCTATAAATACAAACTGTAAGACTCCTAGAAGGGTGGAGCCTTTCACGATTGAGCTCAATAAGAATAAAAGAAAATGTTTCCACAGTTCACTTCTTCTTTCTTCAGTTCATCCTTTTCTTGTTAAGTTTTCAACATCATCTCGTATTCCATGTTAACAACTTCATTTCCTACTACGACCTCTACTACCACCCCGACTCTTTCTTATTATGTCTGAACGACTAGAGGACTAGGAGCTTACCACTTTCCTTTACTCTTGTCCTTCTGTTGATGCATATCCTGAGGCTCCTAAACCACTTGATAATGAGTGTTTTTTTCTTTGTTCTTTTGCATGCTGAGTATGGTATTTCGTACAAGCATGGTTTTGTTTCTAACTACCTATGATCAAGCAAGAGCAACTTCAACTAGATGTGCATTCAGACAAGTGCTTATTTTAACTCCTTTTCCACTACTCTTGTGAATGGTCAATGCATAATGGGTGTCTGAAACTTTATTTGTGTCTTAAAGCACATCCTTAAGGGGCCACTTCATTCGGTGGGGGATTATACGATACTAAGCAATATCAAACTGTCGCGAACTAACTTTCAATTGAATTTGTGTGCTTCTATGCAATGAATGACGTCCTCATACACACTCTTGGACTTTTACCCCTAAATCTATTTGTTATGACAACGTCTTTATATTTTTTTATTGTTAGGTAAAAATGTTCTTTTATAAAGATACCAATTAACTAAACATATTTAAAAGGAGAAGACTCATGTAGAATAAATCATTCATTGTATTCAAACATGTCAAGACATCATTTTACTTCAAGACGTAAACATACTTCAGTCACTACTCTAGGCTCCTTAGAAACCATAGGTAGACTAAAGGCTTCCTGGTGGCATTTGATTCGACCAAAGTCACGATTTGGTGCGAGTCGACCACACTGATACCCCTAAAATGGACTCACATCTACTTCTCTTTTATGAAACCGACATTCTTCCTTCGTCCACTGTCAACCCTCGCCCATCTTTCTCAAAACAAACAACGTTTTTGCGGGGGGTGGTACATACATAGACTTCCGGAGCCCGTGAGGCATCTTGAGGTGCACTCATCCCTCAAGACCATCCTCTCCACATACTCATGCCAACTGGTTTCGCCCTGCCTTGGCCTCATAAGGGAGGGGCCAATAGCGCCATACTAGTTGTGGCCATACAAGCAACGATCCCCCATCATTGTCCCATCTAGACTCGGCTAGAACGATGCACAGGCAGACAACGCCTTATTGCTAGAGTCGCCCCCTTTACCCCTTTTGTGGCAAAACAACCAGATGGTAGCATTCTTTAGATGGTCAACACGATCACGACATTTTGGGTCGTGACATTCTCCACCACTCATAATGTTGCACGTCCTCGTGCTGGTGAAGTATGCTTCTCTTCGCAGCATGTATTGCAACACTCGAACTGATCATGGGCCTTCACATACAATACCATCCTCTGATGGACAGGCTTCGTTCGTGTCTGTCGCGCTACCCTGCTATGCCCCGCGCACATACCGCTTTGTCCCTCGATAGCAACCTTCACTCTTCGCTTCTACTGCGCTAGTACCTCAGTCGACTTTCACCCTACGCTACTCCCAGCGTTTGTACCTCAATCGACCTTCACCCTACACTCTCGCTAGTGTTAGTTCCTCAGATGAACGACATTCTCGGCCGCTGCATCCTCCTCCTATTGAGGTCCCCTACAATGATGCAACACATGTGTATCTGCGTCCGTACCGCCTGATGCACACCCTGAACAGCTTCTCATTCTGGCATAGGATCGACCCATACTTGACCTACGCCGTACTGTGAGAGGAACTAGACTCTCCAGCCTAGCCAGGCTCTGATACCACTTGTCACGGACATAGACTTTCGAAGCTCGTGCGGCATCTTGAGGTGCACTCATCCCTCAAGACCAGCCTCTCCACATATGCATGCCAACCAATGCAGTCAAAAGCGCGATTCTATGTAGAAGCGGTTTAGTGAATTAGGAGCGTAAAACCATAAGCTTTTAAGCATTAAAGTGTAGATTTTGACTAAAATTGTAAGGGGAAAGTGTGATTCTACGTGGAAGCGTTTTGGTGATCTAGAATAATAAAAGGGCAAGCTTTTAAATTTTAAAACGTGATTTTGACTGCATTGATGCCAACTGGTTTTGCCCTGTCTTGGGCTCATCAGGGAGGCGACAATAGCCTCCGATCAGTTGTGGCCCTACAAGCAAAGATCCCCATCATTGTCACTTCCAAACTCGACTAGAACGATATACAGACAGACAACGCCTTATCGCTATAGTCGTCCACTTTGCCTCTCTTGTGGCAAGACAACTAGATGATAGCGTTTTTTAGATGATCAACACGATCACGATATTCCAGGTCGTGACAGGGGGATAGACCGCAAATCGGTAAAACGAGCTGGGCACTTTTGACGGGCAACTATACATAGTGATGGCAATTGGGGGGGGGGGGGGGTACCTCAATTCCCATGCCCCGTCCCACGCTACTACGGGTCGGGTCGACCCACTCTTACATGTTGTTCAAAAAAAATACAAGTAAATTTTACTTTTTACAATAAAACGTAGGAAAAAACACTTTAAGAATGAAAATATTGATAATAGAATGGATAATTGAGCCTAACAAGATGAAAGATCGACTCTAACTAGTTGAAGAAAAGTCAAAATAGGAGAAATATGTATAGATATTGTAAGAAATTGAGATAAAATGAATCTAGAACGGGACGGGGCGGGGCGGGTCGGAAGTAGATACTTATGCCCCGCCTCACGCTATTGCGGGTCGGGTAATACCCGCCCCATCGCAGGTCAGGTCGGGTAATACCCGCGGGGCGGGTTGAAATTGCCATCACTAACTATACAGGGGATCGGTTCAAATTGGTTGGTGGGTCTAGATTGCCCGGACGGTCCGGTTTGGGTGTAACAACATTGGGAAAAAACCGAAAAAGAAGGTCATGGGTCAGCTATGATCATGGTTGTCACGCCGGCGGGCATGCCACCGGTTGTACCGGGTTCAACCGGTACCGGTCATAAAACCGGCGTGACACCACCGGTATAACCGGCATGATCGATATATGAATCTCTAAGTAAAATGACCTTATTTTAGTGAATTTAATTGATAAAAATTATTTTATTATTTATTTTATTAGTATAAAAGTTAAATATTGATGTTATTTGTTGGATTCAAAATTAAATGTTTAGGTATTGACGTTAAATGTCATGTTTAAATATGAGTATTTACAATTTTATTTGTAATATTGACCGGCATGAACCGGCACAAACCGGTATGTGCCACCGGTTGAACCATTCCACTTGCTAAACCGGCACACTGACATAAACCGGTTTGACAACCTTGGCTATGATGATTGATGAGCATGGATTCTGCCGAATAAATATAAAGAGGGTTGGTTGGATGGGATGGGAGCATAAATGGTGGATGTCATCGAGGATATGGCGGAGAAGGCAACATTTATTCTCTCACACACTTAAAAAATCGGTTAGTTGAGCTGCTAACCAGATCCTCACCTACATTGTTTATTTTTTCCTCTTCCCCTTTTACTTGCTGGATCCGTATCATTGCATTTGAACTGGCAAGAGTCCCCAGTGCTCACTTGCTTGCTTTTTAGTTCGAGGAGCTCTCCTCTCCCTCTTCGCTGTAAATCGCTTCTTTGGCCGTAGTCCTCTTCTCTCAATTTTGAGCTTAGTTGGAGGCTGCGAGGGCACGATTTCTGTTTGTCAATGGCGGGGTTTCTCTCTATGCTCAGGCGAACATATCTATCCGTCTATAACTGGGCCGTCTTCATTGGCTGGTAAGCTCTTTTGCTTCCCCCTCTTCTTCTTTCTCTGTTCTCTTTAGTGTTTTTCCTCAAATTTTGTAATTTTTGTAATTCTCGGGTTCACAGGGCACAGGTGTTGTTCTTAGCTGTGAAGACTTTGAAGGAATCGGGTCATGAACATGTGTACAGTGCAGTTGAGAAGCCACTCCAGCTCGCTCAAACTGCTGCCATTTTGGAGGTCTAGCCACGCTTGTCACTTCTTACATAATCAGCTTCACCTAGCTTTTTTTTTCATCTAAATTTCGAAAAGATCGTTGCTTTTGAACTAGTTCCTCACTATGGAATCAATGGTGCTGCTTTCTCTTTTCATTTATGCTGTTTCACATCATATATGAGGATTGCTGAATACTGTCTATATTTTCGTTACCTCTGCAGATTTTCCATAGTTTAGTGGGTGAGTCCTTTATCCCTCTTAGCCAATTTTTGATGAAATTGTGATGCAAAGATTTGAAATTGACTTCTGTTTGGTGGTGATTATGAAAAGGTCTGGTTCGATCTCCCATTACGGCAACACTCCCACAGATTAGTTCGAGATTGTATCTTACATGGATCATTTTACATAGTTTCCCTGAGGTATAGTCAAATATCTGATGTCCCTTTACTCAATGTAATCTCAGTCTGTTGGAAGATGGGCATTTTGAACTAATAAAGGCTGTGTGCTCTTGATATATTGGCAGGTTCAGACGCACTTCCTCGTTAGTAGTTTGACCATTAGTTGGTCAATCACAGAGGTAATTCTTCTGTTTGGAGTTTGAGTTCTACTGGTTCATTATTCTTAGATATCATTGTTGGTCAATTTTTGTGCCTCTGATTGTTCCTCTACCGAATGGGCACTTATGCTGCTGGTTTTGGCATTGCAAATCCAGCATTCTAGGGAAGCCTATTTTCTCTCATTGTTTGCCAGGGGTTTCTGCGCTTTGAATGTTCTATAATTCATCAATAATCTCTCGGCCTGGTTGTTTAGAAAAAATTATAAGTTCGAAGTTAGAGGAGTCGAACAGTGATCATGTTGCACTGTTAGGACATTATGCTCTCTGTTTATGCAGCAGGTTACATGCATTCTCCTAGCATCATGCTCCATTGTTTCTTTGTTCAAAAGGTCATTCTACCCATCATCTGAGGTTTGTTTTCTTGCATGCAGATTATTCGATATTCATTCTTCGGCATGAAGGAAGCCTTCGGTGGAACACCTTCATTTCTTTTGTGGCTCAGGTTAACTAATCTTGCATATGATTGGGGCCCTATTCATTAGAAACTGAAAGTGAGTGGATGCTTGTTCTGCATCTCATCTTGCTTGGTTTTTTGCTGTGTGCAGGTATAGCACTTTTTTGGTGATGTATCCCATTGGTATCAGCAGTGAAGTTGGTCTAATTTATCTCGCCTTGCCTCACATAAAGGTAAACCCGATTCTGATGTTGAATCTCTTGTCACTTTTGCACAAATTAAAATGGTTAACTTTGTGAAGGAAGAACGTAACAGTTGGGCTTCCTGAGTATTCTTAGACAAGGCTTTGCTGTGTTTTTTTTGCAGGTATCTGAAAAGTTCTGCATAAGGATGCCCAACAGATGGAACTTCTCCTTCGATAACTTCTACATCGCTATCATTGCTCTCGGAATCTACGTCCCAGGCATGAAATTATTAACCGGTGACCTTGTTCATCAAGTTTGGTTGGTAGTGAAGCATTACATTCAGATATGACTGATTCGGTTTTTTCTGGTCCTTATGGTTGCAGGTTCTCCTCACCTCTACAGGTACATGCTTAGCCAAAGGAAAAAGGCTCTCTCTAAATCAAAGAGAGAATAGAATATGGCTTCCAACAGATTGAAGTGAGGTTCAATCCTATTATGGGTGACTACAGCATTCGGTTCGGAGTCAATGTAACAGTATGTAGTGTACGCAGGAATAATTGAACACTTATGAAACTGGAATTTAAGTGGTCCAACTTGCTTTCCAAGGATTCACACGCTCCATCTTTTAGCCTTCATGTTGATATTTATGGACAGCAGGTGTACTCCACGGTCATGCAGTTAAAATCATATTTCACTTTATATTCCAGCAGGTGTTTAAACCCCTTTGCTATCAGAATCCGAATACGTTTTACGTGTAAATGAAGAGAATAACGTGGCTATTGCTGATTAAGTAGCTAAATATTCTTAATTGATTATTTAGAGGAGTTACCTTATGTTAGATCACTAACTTAGGAAGGTCTCTAGTAGACCTCTGTGTATATATTGACAGCCCAAGTTAGGCTAATAATAAGAAGAAAAAAAGAACCGAGGAAACAACCTCAGGATTCTCCAAAAACTTTCATGGTATCAGAGCCTGGTCTGACCTAATTCCGCCGTCGATCTGACCGTATTCTCCTATCCCTCTTTCCCTTCTTCATTTTTCTGGAAAACCCGCCATCTTCGTCATGACGAAAGACGATTCCAGTCACTCCTCAACGAATACAGAAGGCAGTGCTCCTCCAACAAACAACTTCAGCACCGTAACACCAACCTCCACCGATTTTTCCAGCATCCTAACGAGTTACAAGCTCGACGGGAAGAACTATCTCAAATGGTCAAAAACCGTTGAGATGAATATTGCAGCCAGGAGCAGAGGAGGATATCTGACCGGAGCCATCAAGCGCCCCGAAGCTACAGACCCCCTGTATCAAAACTGGTATGACAATGATGCCCTGGTCCGAACATGGTTGATCCATTCCATGAAGCCAAGTATCGGGGAAAACTACCTTCTCCATCCCTCTGCGAAAGCAATCTGGGATGCAGCCAGAAACACCTACTCAACGGTTGATAACACATCTGCATTGTTTCGGATTGAAACACAATTGTTTCAACTCAAACAAGGGGAGATGGATGTCACAGACTACTTCAACTTGCTGGGACACCACTGGCTGCACCTAGACATGTACGAGGCAATCGATTGGGAGACCCCTGGAGATCAAGAGAAATTCAAGCAGTACATTGAGAAGAAACGAACCCTGTATTTCTTACTTGGTTTAAATCAAGACCTAGATGAGATCAAGGGTCGGATGATGGGATTGAAGCCTTTCCCCGGCATCGAGACTGTCTTTGCTGAGATATTAAGGGAGGAGAGCAGACGTCAGCTGATGCTCAATCCTAAGCCAAGCCAAGGGGAAAGTTCAGCGTTAGCTGTTCGTAATCCTCAGAAGAATAAGCCACAGGACCACCCAAGTCAAAAGCGGGATGACGATGAGTCCGAGCTCTATTGTGACAACTGCCACAAGCATGGTCATGTTAGAGCTGATTGCTGGTACATCATCGGATTCCCAGCCAACTGGAAACCAAAAGGAGAAAAGAAAAACAACAATAATGGGGCTGGAAGACGTCGAGCTCATGTGGCAGCTGTGGCATCTGAGAAGAAACCAGAACCTGAATCAACCCCTACTCCTTTTACCAAAGAGCAAGCTGGTGCCTTAGAGAAGTTCTTCAAAGCAATGACTATAGGGAAGCCATCCCAACAGAATCAAGCAGGCATGTTCACAAGCCTGTTTGCTAACCAAGGTAAACAGTTTACTGCTCTTTCAATCCAATCTACATCAGGTGTTAAGTGGATAGTTGATTCAGGGTGTTCCGATCACATGACTGGAAATAAAGAATTATGAAGTGACTATCAGAGAAATCCGACCAAGGCTGGGGTAAGAATAGCTGATGGCAGCCTATCTCCTGTAGAAGGAATTGGAAGGATCCGACTAAATCAGTACATAGAGTTATTCCCTGTCCTACATGTCCCCAAGTTAAACTGCAATCTCGTGTCAATCAGTCAGATAACTAGGGATTTGTCTTGCAATGCTATATTCAGTTCTAATCGTTGTTCCCTGCAGGAGGAAGGCTCCGGGAGGACGATTGGAACTGCTGAAAGCCATGAGGACCTCTTCGTCATTGAAGGACGTGGTGATGAAGAAACAAGAGGAACAAGGAGGGCTCTAGCTACTAGTAGTACTGATAGGATAGATGGCCAAATCATGTTATGGCATACACGATTAGGTCATCCCAGTTTTGGATATCTCGAACGGTTGTTACCAAATTTGTTTCGGAATAAAAGCTCCAAGTTGTTGCAATGTGAAACATGTCAGTTGGCTAAACACACTCGAAGTGTTTATTCGGGTTTGAGTTATAGACCAACCCAACCGTTTACAATTATCCATAGTGACATATGGGGACCCACACGAGTCAAGAACATCAATGGAGCTAAGTGGTTTGGCACTTTCATCGATGACCACACTAGACTTACGTGGACATTCTTGATGAAAGAAAAATCTGAAACAACCAGCGTGTTTAAGGAGTTCTACCATATGATTCTCACTCAGTTCAAGACAAGAATACAAGTCCTCAAGACGGACAATGCTCATGACTACTTTAATTCTGTCTTAGGGACGTTTCTTGCACAAAATGGGGTTGTACATTGCAGCTCTTCTGTAGATACTCCCCAACAAAACGGAATTGCAGAACGGAAGAATCGTCACTTATTGGAAACGGCTAGGGCACTACTATTTGGAAATCAAGTTCCCAAACACCTATGGGGAGAGGCTGTATTGACTGCTACATACCTCATCAACAGGCTTCCTAGTCGAATCCTTAAGTACCAGACTCCGAAAGATATCTTGGTTCAAGCATACCCTCACACAGAGGCATATCTCTCGGATCTGGAACCAAGGGTGTTTGGCTGTCTAGCTTTTGTTCATGTGCAACAACATCACCGAACGAAGCTAGACCCCAAGGCTCAGAAATGTGTGTTCATCGGGTATTCCTCTCGACAATAGGGATACAAGTGTTATTCCCCCATCACACGGAAGGTATTTAATTCCATGGATGTCACCTTTTTTGAGAATCACCCATATTACTCCCACACTGATGTCCAGGAGGAGACATTGGAACAAGAACATCAAGGGTGGGAAAATATGATTGCTTTGGATGGTTTTACTATGCCAAATGTCACAGTAACTCCTCCACCATATGTCACTATAACTCCTCCAACAGCTAATGAAATACCAGTTGGGGATCAGGAAAGGAGACCCGAAAAGGTAATTCGAAAGATGTATCAACGACGAAGGAAAAACCACACTCGGAATAGGGCTGAACCAGCTGAAGCAGATTCAGTACAACCAGAAATGACAATTAGAACAGAAGATGAGGCTTCGGACAATGAAGAGCAGCCACCTCATAACAATGTTGATGAAGCAGAAGTCGAAGTGGATAATCAGCAGGAGAATACCGAAGCTAGTGTGTATCAACCGATTGCTCTACGAAAGGGAGTGAGGTCATGTACTAAACACCCCATTCAAAGGTACGTCAGTTATGGACAACTAAGTAAGGAGTACAAGGCATTCACTAGCCATTTGGACTCAACTCCTAGGACCATTGCAGAAGCAATGCAGCATCCTCAATGGAGACAAGCTGTTCTAGAAGAAATAAGAGCATTAGAAGAGAATGGCAATGCAGTCAAAAGCGCGATTCTACCTAGAAGCGGAAAAGAGGTAAAATCGTAAAGCGTAGAATCAAAGCGTAAAAGCGTATGTTTTTTACGCATACTGAAAAATAACTAAAAATATATTAAGTAAGACACATACTATGTAAAATATGAATGCACATAATTTAGATAAGTTAATAAATACATGCAATTCATGTCTAAAGCAAAGCAACTTATAGCATCTTAATAATAAGTTCGTAAACATAAAATTTAACAATAAGCGACTTTTTCCTCTATGCTAATGACTTCGGGAAGAGCCTAGCTAGTGAATTAGATTACTCTATTGAAATTGAGAATGCATCCAAGTACTTGGTATGTATCTTTTCATCTCAAATGCATCATATTGTTGGTGATTTACTTTTAAATATTACTTTTTATAATTAATTTCATGAAAAGAATACCCATTTAGTGAACTAAAAGCGTAAAAACGTAAAGCATTTTGATGAACTAGAAGCGTAAAAGCGTAAGCTTTTAAGTTTTAAAGCGCAATTTAGTCCGATTTTATACACTTAAGTTTTTAAATGGAAACGAAAGCGTTTTGGTGACCTAAAAGCGTAAAATCGTAAGTTTTTAAGTTTTAAAACGCGATTTTGACTGCATTGGAGAATGGAACTTGGAGGATTGTGTCTCTACCAACCGGGAAAAAGACAGTTGATTGCAAGTGGATATTCACCATCAAATACAATTCGGATGGAAGTGTTGCAAGGTATAAGGCAAGGCTGGTAGCTAGAGGATTCACACAGTCATACGGCATAGACTATCAAGAAACCTTTGCTCCTGTGGCAAAATTGAAGACTGTCCGAATACTAATGACCATTGCAGTTAATGAAGACTGGCCACTGTTTCAAATGGATATCAAGAACGCCTTCCTAAATGGCAACTTGAGTGAGGAAGTGTACATGGAGATACCCGAAGGAGTGGAAAATAAGCATGGTAGAGGCTCAGTATGTAAACTGGAGAAGTCACTATATGGACTAAAGCAATCACCACGAGCGTGGTTTCAGAAGTTCTCTAAAACTGTGATGGCAGATGGGTATTCCCAAAGTCAAGCCGATGACACTATGTTTATCAAACATGGACAAGAGGGAAAGCTCACTATCCTGGTTGTCTATGTTGATGACATAATTGTCACTCGAAGTGATACTAAAGAAATCGAGAAACTGAAGGCTAGACTGAGAGAAGAGTTTGAGCTAAAGGATCTCGGTGAAATGAAATATTTTTTGGGAATGGAGGTGGCCAGGTCACATAAGGGACTGCTTATATCACAAAGGAAGTATGTCCTTGATCTATTGGAAGAAACAGGAATGACTGGTTGTAAACCGGCAGATACACCGATGCAACCAAACATCCAGTTCAACACCGAATCAGATGTGAAACGAGCTGATAAAGGGCGATATCAGCAGCTGGTTGGGAAGCTAATATACCTATCCCACACACGGCCAGACATTGCATTCGCCGTAGGAGTGGTAAGTCAGTTCATGAATGATCCATCAGAAGAACACCTGGCAGCAGTGACACATATTCTAAGATACTTGAAAACAACTCCAGGACTGGGATTGTTTCTCACAAAGAATAGCACCCGAACAATTGAGCTATATACCGATGCAAGTTGGGCTAGTGCAATAACATCAAGGAGATCTACTACTGGTTATTGCTCATATGTTTGGGGTAATCTTGTGACTTGGAGGAGTAAAAAGCAATCGGTGGTTGCTAGGAGTAGTGCCGAAGCAGGGTACCGGGCATTAGCTCTTGGCATCCAAGAAGCTATGTGGATTCAAAGAGTCCTAAAGGAACTAAATTTGCCTGGTCAAGAGAAAGTGCAGATGTACACTGACAGTCAGGCAGCCTTGAGCATTGTAAAGAATCCAGTCCATCACGACAGGACTAAACATGTCGAGATAGACAGGCATTTAATCTCAAAGAAAGTTGAATATGGGGTCGTGGATGTCAACTACGTGCCTTCAAGACAACAAACAGCTGACATACTCACAAAGGCCCTAGCTCGTGACTTACTGGAGCATTTCAAGAACAAGCTCGGTCTTCATAACATCTACACCAAGCTTGAGGAGGAGTGAAGAGAATAACGTGGCTATTGCTGATTAAGTAGCTAAATATTCTTAATTGATTATTTAGAGGAGTTACCTTATGTTAGATCACTAACTTAGGAAGGTCTCTAGTAGACCTCTGTGTATATATTGACAGCCCAAGTTAGGCTAATAATAAGAAGAAAAAAAGAACCGAGGAAACAACCTCAGGATTCTCCAAAAACTTTCAGTAAACTAGACCAATCTTCTGCGAAGACAAAAGTGGGAGGCGAAAAAAAAGGTGCCCTTAAAACTGAAAACACGTCCCTACGCAACATAGCACAAGAATCATTTACAATCCAGAGTTCGAAACCAAGGAATATGTAAAAGGCAGTAAGGGTGAAAGAAACGGTGAGAACCAAATAAATGTTTTAAGAAAAATGTACATGGGGTTCTTTTCACCTATATATCTTCTACAGAAACATTTTTCCATGATCGTCTGATTGACTCCCCGTGGAGCTTTTGCTAGCTGGTCTGGCGATCTAGACGGGATGAGGGACGGCTGCTTGAAGATTTTTCACTGCACTCTCATAGTTTACAAAACCCATCAACCAAAACTCGTGGTTGTCGATAGAGATTATCTGGATGTACTTCTCGGATGAGTTGATCTTGCTAATTGATGGATTAACAGCCTTCAGTTGGTGCAATGGGATAACAACCTACCAGCAGAAATCAAGGATTAAGCATGAAGCAGACAACACAAAGAACATCCCTGCAACATTTTATTCACAGAAGCCATGATCGAAAGTATTAAGTACCAGGCAACGCATAGTACGGTATCGAAATTTTACAATTGAGAGCCAATTACAGAAACAAATGCTAATCAGGCTAAGGGAGGAGGGAAAGAGGGCAATCCAATAATTTGGTTGACAACATGGCAGTTGCTTTGGGCACATATGTGCTCTTCATAGTTCTAGAAAGTGAATGACCCTCCAAGTCCCTAAATGTACTGTGTTCAACAACTCATAGCTTTAAATTTATCATAACGTTTCACCGTCTCAAAATTTCAAGGAAGAAAGCCTCTTCTGCATCCTTCCGACTCTAACACACAAGTACTCTCACAAACATGACGATTCTTACCGATAAAAAACAAGTTTTGTGAACTTAAATTTCTGAGACATTGGATTAGTGAAGCGCCTTAATATGTTTAGCAACTCTTTATCCGGATAATAAACAGCCCATAAAGTTTTAAAGGAAGATGCTATGATGTCATTACATTATTATCTCAGAGCAGCTTGTACCCATGCTTGGAATCAAGCCTCAATGTGTTAATAAACTATGGAGAATAGAAGCCTAAGGGTTCTAGAAAAAATTAGTAAATTACCGATTTCAAAATCCCGCACTGGCATGGATGAATTCCTTAGCAGGCAAAGACAACCTTATATTGTTACATGAACCCACAAAGAAAGCACTGCAACTTTGAACTATCACCGGAATCCCCGAGCGGCCTATTTTAAACTTAATGCTCGACATGAGATCAACCAACAGGCTATAAGGCAGAAGTGAAGCTGTGAGAGGGTTTCAGGAGACAAGTACCTTATAATAGCTCCATTGAGTTTGATCACCAACTTGGTACGACAAAGGGTTGTCGCTACAAAATGCAAGCTTCGCGGTTGACAAGTACAAAGTCCCCATGACAGGGCCAGCCGGGTGGATAGGTAGCAGGCATACGTCTTGGTAAGTTGCTCATCGGGAAGACTCTCAAACGTTTGTTTGAAAACCTTCTCGTATCCACCCTCTGCAAGCACCTTGGTGGATTGAGCTATCCTTCCCACGGCAGCATCAGCAAAGCTAGGCCCCGTCTTCACTAAACAACAAAGGGGAAGGAAAGGAAAATCAAATAGCACACCATGGCCGCAGTCAGCAATGAAGAAGACGATCCTAGGCAAACATCAAATCTACAAGACACATCTATAATTAGCTTGGATGACCATCCTCCTGTATCTCCAATTTCATGAAGGTGCGCAACCCATTCATCGGTTCGGTTTAAAAATGCGCAAAATTGACTAAAAATAGAGCAGAGGAAGGTATTACGGTGTTGCCAGACGTTGCCAGCAAGATCCTCGGCCATCTTGGTCGCCTCAGCCGCCTTCTTCCCCCATTTTCCTAGCACGTCTTTCACCGCATCCATCTTGTCTGCCAAGCACCCAAAAAAAATTCCGTGTCGTGTCAAAAAATCCCGTTCAATTCAACAAAAATTGTCAACCAGAAAAGGGGGAAAAAGCATAACAGAAACCCACTCTTGGAGGCGGGAGCAGGGGAGACGTAAGGATTGGACTCGGCCGGCAGGGTAGTAGCAGCGTCGCCGCCGAGGGTGGGAGTAGGACCGGGAGGAGCAGAGCGAGACGCTTCCGACGGCGGCGGCGGCGGAGGAGCAGCAGCAACGGAGCCACCGGACATGGAAACGTCTGCCCAATTCTCGGAAGGGGGCGCGACGTCTTTAGGGTCGAGCTTCGGGTAAGGGGCGTAGTCGGGAGCCTTGGATTCTGCTGAAGGAGATGGAGAAGGAGCTGCTTTAATGGGGGGTTGATCACCGTGCTGAAGAGGGGGATTCTGATTCTCGCTCATGGCGGTGGTTAGGATTCAGGGAGGGAGAGAATTCAGCGGAGACAGCGGCCAAATAGCGATAGAGAGAGAAGAAGAAGAAGAAGAAGAAGAAAGAGGATTGACGTGGATTTGAATTTGTAATCGAGGAACGACACCAATATGAAGTTTGAACCGGTAGGAATCAGCCAATCGGATTGCGATCCTCGGTATGAAGTTTGAACAGCTGTCCGCCAGTCGCCCTTTTCTGCTTTAATTAATAACATGATAATTTACTACGGATAGCAATGGGTCGGTTCGGGGTGGATAGTCTATATCTGTTACCCTATTCAAAATAGTTTGGGTTTTATCGTTACTCGTACCCATATAAAAAAACGAGTAGAAAATCAAAATCATGTACATACCTATTCGTGTTTCTCGGGTACATTGGTAATAATTTCACTTATAGCCTGTTTGGATTGACAAAAAAGTAAGGAATTGGAATTCCATTTCCAATTCCATTTCCATATATTATGTTTGGAATAATAAAAAGGTTGAGAATTGAATTCCAATGGGTCTAAAATATGGGAATTACAATTTCTATCAAAAGTGATAGGAATTGAGAGAATGAAAATGTAATTAGTGGGACCCATCAATACTTTTTATTATTTTGTTGACCCACTATCATTTTACTCTCTTTCTCTCTCATTCATATTTCATTTCCCAAAATAAAACAAACATATTACATTATTCATTATGGTTAAAAGTGCAATTCATTTCCATAGTTGTAGGAATTATACCAAACACTAGAATTGGAAATGGAATTCTATAAAAATAAAAAATTGAATTCCATTTCCATTTCCATTTCTTCCGGAATTGTATCCAAACAGGCTGTTAATAACTACAATCAATATGTTAAGATCCACACTTTTCTCACTTTACATAGGAGGAAAGGTACTACAATAATTCACTAGAATGAAAATTTAAATTAAAATAACACAATTTCATGATAATATTATATTTTATGCTAAATATAAAATATGTTAGAGAAAAATAAAAATTATTTCTAGGCAAAATACATATGCATGTGTATAATCGGGCGGGTTAGCATTAGATAGTGCAAAAACCATGCTCATCCATTACACACAATATTCGCGTTCGAATTTTACCCGTATTCACTAAAAGTACTTTGGGTTGGGGTTTTACCCTATCCAATTAGGTCGGATTCGGAAGGATATCTATGGTTACAACATCCTATAATTTACTAATTATTTGTGTTATTCTAATACCTGCTTAACCCTTAAGAGCTGTCTCGACTACCGCGTCGCCAAGGAGTGGAGTGTTTGTCATTGCCAAATGTGTTTACACCGCTGACATCGGTTAGTAAGTGGTATGATGAGACCATTGATACAAGTTATTTATGTTACTTCAAGTCGATTTTAATAGAACATGTAGGAAAGTGAGAAACTATTAACACTTAATAAATAAAATGTTGTATTCCAAACAAATTGAAATTCATCATATTTAAATACAACATTTAACACCAACATCCATACGTTTATATTTGAATTCAGTTAATAACATAAATATTTAAATATTTATACGTGAATCCAACAAATAACATAAACATTTAAATTCCAAATGCAATTTCAAATTCAACAAAATAAATAAATGTTCATTAAATTCACCAAAATGACATTATTTTGTTTGAGATATTGAAAAAATCGGTCATGACTGTCCTACCATGGGCATTCCAACTGATAATGGTTGAACCCTGTTGTCCCGGGTGACGTGCCACCGGCTTGCCAATCATGGTAATCGTCGTTCGCCCCATTGGTAGGGCCCGCCAGGTGGTTATTTTCTCGAAGCACCAATCGATTGAAAACGAAGAAGGATCAAGTATCAAAGGTAGGGAACGTACATGAGTAATGTAGTTCGGATTTAGACGTTTCAATCACCCTGTCCATACACTTCGGTTTTGAAAGCACTAAATTCAAACACAACCTAAAAAATTATAATCATAAGAATTGTTTATGATTTGGTTAAGTTGGGTAGATTGTACATTTAAGTAATAACCCAACCCAACCCAAAAAACGCAACTATTTTGCAACATAAAAAGAAAAGGTTATATAAATAATTAAACTTCAAGCAAATAAACCAATGGAAAAATTCATCAAAATACGTAGAACTTATTGTTTGAATCATGATGAAGTGCACTTTGTATAATATTTTTCAAAAATAAGCTAAATAGTTTATTCATTATAAGCTAATACATCAATAATATGTTATACTTCTAAATTTGTACACAATTCAGAGTCATTAACAGAAGAAGAAAAAAAATCAAACCAACACAGTCCCTTAAGTTTGCTTGTGGGATTTGGGTGTTGTATTTGGCACCCAAATACCAAGCATGTTGTATTTGATAAAAGAACATTGTTTGTTGAGGTATCCAAATCCGTGGACCCCACGTATTTGCAAATACCACATTTCATTTGGTATTTGCAAATACCACATTATGGAAGACAAATTTTTGAGACTCAAATACCAAATGAACTCTATGGCAAAAATTCAACTAAACAAACAATGTTATCTTTCAAATACAAAATGCAATAAATCCATCATAAATCCAAAGGTTTTCAAAACTCAAATCCTTCATTTTCTAATCCAACAAGCAAACGAGCACTAAATCGCAATCTACAAGGTTGATAAGCTCTTCCATTTCCAACCCCCAGGTCACAGAAACATTGCTTAACTACTTCCACCAATCCATTAAGTACGGAGAGCATCCAGTTAATAATCCTATGGTATATAACCATAAACTTACCATTTATAAATGATAACTAATTTTCTCCAATTAATTTTAACGGGATATATTTATTTTCTTTTAAATTGTAATTTCATTTTTTCTTCTTCTTTTGCATTGGTAAATATTTGCTCTTCAAAATAACATACATTTTAATATATTTTGGAACAAAAAATATTGATATTTATTACCCGCACATACCTTGTGGTAATGTTTGCTAGTACATAAGATTATGTCACGTGATATAGAAGTGTATCATGGTGGTATGAACATAGCAGAGTGTAGAATGGTTGCATACATGATAATAAGAATATGCTAATCATCATTTACCACTTTATATCACCGTATACCACCCTATACCACTAGTATATTTGGTCTTGATTTTCCCCTTGAAAATTTGTATATATAATAGATCACGATAACCCGCTCCTTCTGTACAGAATGTTCAAAATCCGAGTTAAATACTAAGGTGGTATCAAGTGGTATTGGTGGTATAATATTTTTTTTTAGAAATATGTTAAAAGTGGATATCATTTTCTAGATCACAATGAAACATTTCCATCCGTGAAAAAAAAATTAATCCAAATTAAAACAAAGAAGATAAAAGTTAATTTAAAAAAGTTGGATAAGTAAAATGCCTTTAATTCTCATCCATTAGATATAGTCACACTTAAAATAAAAAGGCTCAAATCTACTTATGCATTTATGCATAGCCACTGGGTTAAGCACCCTATTCTGGACCTCTATGCAGATGATAGAAAAGGAAATAAGGTTATGCATTTATGTCTCCTCTTAGTTTTTTGTTTTTGTTTTTTTGTTTTTTTTTTTTGTCATAGATATGTCTCCTCCGGTTCCCCGCGCAACAAAGTCTCTTGCTCTAAAGAAGCCCGACTCACATGCACTTTCCAACCTTTCAAAGATGGCTTGCAAACTTCCGTTTATCTTCTTTGAATGTATCCTCTTTCGTGTGAACGAGAGTAATCCATGAAGAAGTAAACCTTCTCAGTCTTTTCTCATTAGCTTAAGCGGCTGAACAATTACAGCAGCATATATATATATATATATAACCCTAAACAACAATCACCTTAGGGTTATACGATAGGAACTAAGATGGAAAAGTACAAATTAGTCCCTACACTAATGACACATATCCTTTACCCCTAGGTTCTGTTTGCATTAAAATTGGACTATATCCGACCCAACCCTCTCGAGGTGTCTGGCTTCAGTAAGGGGAAACACAATGAGTCTATGGGTATCCTAACTAACTCATCCCGGTCAATGCGGGTAAAACTCGCTTTGACGTGTTGCGAGCCGGGTTCGGGTTTAAACCCGATATGTCTTTTGCGAGTTGGGTTTGGATTTAATTATATCTAACCCGCGGATATCCGCATCCAAGTCCATACACCAGCCTTCGCTCCCCTACCTGTCTGAGTTCCAGTCCGGCTTGAAAGTCTCGACGGTGGCGCCAAATTCTGAAGCCTACAACGGATCAATCAGGCGGGAATCACCGGCTAATGCCTTTATTAGGCGGCAGATGGTAGTATTTATACCCAGAATCAACTGGATCCCCTTCCTTTCCATATCCTCCTCGACCCAAGATCTTGCCCCCTGATTCTGGGAGAAACGTCCGACCGTGATCTCCGCCCCTAAAGCTCTCTCTGCCCAACGCTGGAATCTTCACCAAATTCCAGAATCTCCGTCTGGAATAATCTCCGGCGACGTGTAAGGCGGCCGCCGATCACCATGAGCTTCAACTAAACCGTTATGCCAATAATGCGATTGTCATTAATGGTTTTAAGGACATTCATTTCATCATTACTAGCCTCCATTATTAGAGGAATCAAGGCTGAAATTAAGCCTGTAAAGCGATCCTTTAGGGGCGCAAATGGGACGGTTACTAGCCCAAACCGAAAGTCAATATTGCAAAACCCATTAATTGGGTGTTATGGAGAAATTAATGGCCCAGGTATTGATTTTGGCCTTAATGCTCCCCCCTCTGCAGATCAACTAGAACCTGCTAAAAGAGGCAGTGAGTTAGCCCAAACCAATAAAAGCATCCGATTTTCCCATCCAAGAGCAGTAAAAGCTAAAAAGCCTTCAAATCTCGGTCTTCCCTTCCCCTGCTTCCACCTCCTGAAAGTCTTCCCCTGTTTCACAACCGAGAAAACAGAGTGCTCCCTGCTCTCTTCATACCACAACATGGCAGGGCCTATTGAATTCAATGACGAAGTTCTGGAAGCTGGCCAGAATAGAGCTCGCCTGAGCTTGATAGGCCGATTGCTATGCTCCTCCCACCCCTCGAGAATTCGAGTCCAGCACACAGCCAACAACCTGTGGGCAAAGAGGGCCCCGGTGACCGTTCTAGACGCAGAACATGGCCTGTTCCAGCTCGTCTTCTCCAATGCTACTGATCGTCAGGAGGCCTTGGAGAAGG